ACAACAAATACTTACAAATTTAAAATGATAGTAGATAAACATAAAAAATGCAATAGCGATGAAAGACATCCAAAATGTTTCAAACTTGATTTAGAAAGACTATATTTAAAATGATCTAATGGTTTCAGACAAAGATCTTATCAACATTAGTATGTATAATTATGGTCTGAAAGGGAACAGATAAAATGCTTTTTTTTATCCAAAATGATGCAGGTTTTAATATTGTTAAACAACTTGGTTACAACACTTAATGTTAGTTTCCCCAAGTGTCTGCTCTAATGTGTGTTCATGTTGTTTTAAGCTTCAGCAATGTTAATGGTTTCATATTTGACATCACGCTCCCACCGCCCATCTCATACTTTCTGCTCCCACACATTGGCCCAAAAACTTTGATTAGTGTAAATGGAAACAAACAATCCTCTCATGGGTTCCCACTGTAGTTACTGGTATACGGTTCCCCAGTGACACAGCAGTTCATCCCAGTTCACTCTCATACTGCTTCAGGCCCTCTGTTTGCTGTGGCCTTTCATTAGCGCTGTTCCACTACCTCGTCTTATTAACAAAATGTAATACACATTTATAACTTGTCTAATGCTCCAATTTGATTCTATTTTTATGTCAATTAAATTAAATGGTTGGCATGTTCATGTGATTTATAAAAAAAATTAACATCCTAGTTATTGAATTATTATCAGTGTACTAAAACACAACAATGGAGGTTTTGTTTGATTCTGAACCGAGTCCTTGGGACAAGATGTTGATTTTTTTTCTTCCAGATGTACATTGTACATTCTATAAATATACGAGAGGATTGTGCATTTTTAACAAACTCCTGCAGGCACATGCTGTCTGTCAGCAGGATTCACTTTCTTGTTCTCATATTTTAATCTTATTGGCCCTCTAATATTTCTGCCCGGCCTTTCAGTATTGACACTGTTGTTGTTGGTATGTGTTACACATAGGGATGGGTATCGTTAAGGTTTTAATGGTACTACTACTTTTATCGATACCGCTTATCGGTCCGGTCTTTTAACGGTACTCTTATCGGTTCTTTTGGAGAAAAAAATGAGGTAAACGAACTATATGTTGTATGTCAGGGACTACGAATGGAAATTAGCTCAAAGCTAAAATCCGGCATATTTACACTTGAAGCATTATTTGTCTAAAGTGTTCATTAATGTGCATTGTCCCTATTCAAATAAACGATTAAATGACAAATGAAAATAAACAAATTGTGAACAAACTAACATTGCTTTTTATTTAAATTAAATACATAATATTTCACATCAAAAGAAACAACAACGTTTTAACAAATGGTATTAAATAATGTGATGACAGAACTGTGAACAGAATGGCTGAAACTTTAACAAACTAAATAACTCAGTTACCTCTAATCATCAACCCATGTTTTTGTATCATTGAGTTAGCTCCGTGTGTTGCTGCAAGCATACATAATATACCTGACGTGGAAACGTTACTCGTGGATGGGGCTACAGAGCTACTAGAGAGACAGTCGAACCCGGTGCATTCCTCCGTCTGAATGTGGAGCACTTTTGCTAAATGTTTAGACCAATTTCTCGTGTTACCGCCCTGACATGCTAAACTCTTATTGCACTTTAGGCAACGAGCGAGACGGGTAAAGTTGAACCACACCTCGGAGCGCGTTCTCTCCGCCATCTCCTCCGTGTGTGTGTGTGTGTTGCTGCATGCAGCTGCGTGTGTGTAAACTGCCCCGCCCCCTCGAACACAGACGGGGGAGAGAGATCTCTCGTCTGGATTGGAGAGATCGAAAATACTAAAAATGACGCATTTTGCAGTCTTTTTGCATATTAGAAACGGAGTTGGCGACACTAAAACTGCAATATAATGTTTGTGTAGCAATAATACACATGACATATTTTTTAGATGTCTCCAGTACCGATAAAAAGACCGATAACGTCGGAGATTAACGGTACCACGGTCTTTAATAATTCAGCCCCGGGGCCCGTTTAATACCGGGGCTCGGTACCCATCCCTAGTTACACAGGGAAAGTATGTTTGTAGCTAGAAGTAAAATAGTGAGGGGAAGTGATTGGCGGCATCCCTCAGCGTAAACACTGTGCAGCCTGCTCAGATTTTGTGACAATTTCTACCTGGTGCTTGACTGACACAACTAATTTTGTACGCACCCAAGAAAAAGCAGCAAACTGCTTAATTGTGTTTATGTATACAGTAAAATAAATCCCTCCTCTATGTACCACACTGTCTGTGTTTGTGTGTTAGTACGTGTGCTGTGTCCATTTGTTTGGGATGTGTACATGTGCAGTATCAGTACACACAACTGGGTGAGTGACTGAGTATAAGTGCACATGGTGGCGTTCCTAATGAGGCTTGAATCTCCACTGCATGGCTCAGAGCCACACTTGTTGGCTCTGAGCAGGGATGAGCATGTGAGTGTGAGGAGGAGCAGGGGGTTGTAAATGTTTAATGCAAACACCACCCTGTGGTCATTTTACATTACCAGCATGTGAAATCATGGTTGGAAAGAATAAAACATTTTTAAATACATTACCTCAATCATAAAAAGAGAAGATCATTAAGTCAATATATCAAATAACAATAATGTATACTACCGTTTTAGCTAATGCAAATCTAATGATCTGAAAGCAAACATACAGTATGCCTACAGTACACGTGCTTCACTTGGTTGGTTGGTGTCATGTGATCGCCCGCTTCACTGGCAGTCTTTCTTTTTTTCCGGTGACTGGGCAATCCCAAGAGAGCCATCACAGGTCAAGCACTACCCGATAATTAGTGTTCACAGCATCTTCACGAGAATCCAGCTTTAAGTTGACATGTAATGAAAGCGCCAGAAAGATGAGCACATAGCAGGACACCATACTCCTCATAACGGAGGTTCAAACGGGGCCTTTCTATAAATACCCTACTACTGCCAGACTGCTGATCCAAAGTTAAGACACATATTAGATCGCATCTGCCAAAATGTGCAGAGTGCCGATGTTGTACAGTCCAACAATAGTGCTTTACATGTTAGGATAAGGGTGATCTGAGTTAGGCAAATTAACAAACAATGTCATCACTGAGAAATTGTACAGCTATTTTGACAAATCTTATCAACAACAAACTTTGTCTTCCACTACATTTTCTGTGATGTTTACAGTATGTAGAGGAGCATAGGCTAAAGATGGACATTACTGTTGAGCACATACAGTATTTTGGTTTGTATATAGGTGACTTAAAAAACAGTTCTAAGTTGTGGGTTCGATCAGTATTGCAATGAGCCATACGTGTAGGTGTTGGTAGGTGTAGACTTGCATTTTGCTCGGTATGTTGCTGAGTTATGTGTTTTATGTTTGAATGAAGATACAATTATTATTATTATAAAATAAATGTTGTTATTTTACTTTGACTACACAAGCTTAACCGTTTCAGTTTGAATCTTTTAGCGTCATGACTGTGAGGGTCCCATACCCTCGTTCAGACTGTGAACAAGCTGCTAGCTCCATCTTCCCACTTTGTTGAAGCCAATTGCAAAATAGAGTGATTGTATATTTTTCAAATGACTGCCAAAAGTTAGCTGGCATGGCCTTCTGAATCCTACCACAACTTGAAACTGTCTGCATGTGTTGGCTGGTTCAGCGTTAAGCTACTGCTAAACTTCTTATCTGGATGAGTGCCTCATCAACCACCTCTTCTCCCCCTTGAGCACAGTCCAATGTACATAAGCAAGTGTCGTCTTTCCACTGACCATGAGCCTCTGGCTTGTGTGAATTTAAGTCCTGCTCGTTTGGGGAGAAAGGCTCCTGGTCTTTGAGACTGACTAACAAGTTCCACAAATATACTCTCTCCTCTTACTGTATGTCAGGCAAAAATGGTTAGTAACAACACGTTTAGCATTATGATACAGCATCGGCATGCAAAGTCATTATCAAGCTTAGCAAGCCGGCATTGGTACGTGATGCTCAATGACATGCCAATGTAATGTGTGCTGCTACATCAAATAAGGGAGTGAATATTTAAGCCCCTCTAATGCTGTTAAATTCCTGTTATGGATTACACACCAGTGTCAGTCTAACTCTAATTTGGAATCAGTTTGGCCCCAACACGCCCCTTTAACATGTGCACACACTGGCACTTTGCCTTCAATACTCCCGACATATGTGTGTTGGTGCCTAGTTAAGCTTCACACTGCAGTTCAGGTGTCTCAGTTACTTTACGTCTAATTATAGACAGTTGGGGATAATTGCAACTGTGTGTGTGTGTGTGTGTGTGTGTGTGTGTGTGCATTCAAGTATCTCTAGAGATTTAAACAAGCCTTCATTTACATTGTAACACAATTGGAGGCTTAGAGTGAGATTTAGAGCTTAGTTACGGACAAAAAGAGCTCTCGCTACTGATAGGCTTCATTGAGTTGGACTTTTCTGCTTACACGTGAAGAGCAAAAAATAGGAAAACAATCAGCTAGCACAGTAAACAAACATCAACAAATCATTACCTAAGTTATATTAAAGTCAGGGAGCTTCCTCTGAGTACAACATCACCGTCAGTTATATTAAAATGAATGCTTTTCAAAGTGACTCTGAACTTCTCAGGCTTGCCACAATGTTCTTTATTGCAGAAAATAAATAGAGTTCCAGATATTTGCCTGTTTGAATTGTTTTTCTATTGGACATCCCTCTACATTAAGCTTACATTCTGTGAGCATAGCCACCATCGTTCTGACAATCAAGCCTTGTCCAGATCAACGTAGTAAAAGACATTGATCAGAAAAAAATGCGGAAACGCAAACATTTCTGTTTTCAGTTCACATACATATTATATTCCCTTTGTTCACCAAATGTGTCTACATCGTTTTCCTATCTCCTAGCAACAGTACAACATACCATCATGGCTGTCTATACCTGTACAGCAGCCCTCTGCAGCATGCCTTGGATTTTATCACAAATATCTTTGCTGCTCTCCTGTTTTAACACATTTTTCTCTCTATGTATGCATTTCAGCTCTTCACCCAGAGCAGGAGAGACCGGCAATTCTTCAGTGTCGGGCCAATCCAAGCCCAATGGACAGACTCATAAGATCTGTTTGGTGTGTTCAGACGAGGCCTCAGGGTGCCACTACGGGGTTGTTACCTGCGGCAGCTGCAAGGTGTTCTTCAAGAGAGCCGTCGAAGGTTAGTCTCACACACCTACCTACCTGCATTAACTCACACACTCAGAAATGACACATGGAAATACTCTAATTGGAATGATAGTATTTACACAAATCTAAGTTTGTGAACAGCTATATAAATTATGAAAGACTATTGTCATTCCAACTTTTGTTTTGAATGGAGTGGCCACATTTACACCAGGCTGTAATCAGATTTGCATTTTCATGATTGCGTATTCTACAGTCCCGCCCTCGTACATGTGTATCTTATTGCAATGTTCAGCATCCATTACCGTTATACATATTGTCCCAAGGACTTTCATTCATTTTAGTTATACTGTATATAATCAACTTCTAAAGCTATTGCTCAGCAATTCAAAGTCTCTGCTGCAAAACAGTTAATAATTCTATCAAATGGAAAGTTCAGAGTGGAATAGGGGGTTGGTAGTTGTTGAGCTTTCGCAGACCCACATCATGTTCATGCCTGTATGTGGGTCTGAGTCTTGGTTCTGACCTTGCATGTATCTGCCTCTTGTAACCTTTCCTTTAAGTCCGGTATCAAAGCAGGGTTGACTTCCAAGTGATTTTAATTTAATAATATAACACGAGAAAGAAGCCTATTTAAAAATGTTACTTTAATGATACAATTAAGCCTTATGGAGGAATAGTATTATAATGGCCTTGTAAGACAGCCATTCTCCTGCTTTGTTCGCCAACATTACATATTTTGGTTCTTGTCTCAGGCAGTTTGTGAATCCAGACGCTTGTCTTGAATCTAATTCCCTTGATAAAATCCTGAGCAGGGAGGGGCAGGAATGCATCTGACAAACAGAAAGTAATTTATGTTTAAGTGTGTCTGCAATGCATTCCATCTCCTTCTACTTCTCTTTGCTTCTGTTTCTCCATTTCCTGTCTTTTTAAGGAAACCTATGAGCTGTGTCATTCATTTGAAATGTCTATGTGAACAGTAAATGAACCACCCTTTATCTATTCTGGACCCAGAACTTATTATTAAATGCAGAAATCAGCCACTCTAGTTCAAATTAGCAGACAGCCTTGTCCTTTTCTCTCATTCTGTGCATATATTCATTATCTTTATCATTATTTGTCAGTTTCCTATACATCTGTCACTAACACTGCTACTGAAATAATTGTAAATGATTATATTATTCCTAAGGCGATGGAGTTATAAAATAATTCTGCATCAGCTCAGGACCAAAACTTGAATGGGAGTTGATGGAAAGTTTGAATAGCTGTATAAACAATGGCACAGAGGAATTGTAGTGCAAGAGTAACACTTGATTTGAGCTGGAAAATGTGGTTAATTTGTTGTGTTGTTTGATTGTGACCCTTATCCGCTTTTTATTATGTAGTGCTGGTGTAAATGCCCAGCGCTCAAACTGTTTTAAGTTTCATCTTTGCAAAGAGCTGCCTACAGTAGCGCTGAGAAAGTTAATCTGTGATTGTTGTTTTTCTCCCCCCTTTCCATTCTCCGGTCATTGTCTTTATGGTGAAGGATGGAGAGCACGACAAAACACAGATGGTAAATAAATGCTTTTAATAATCTACAAATAAATAATAAATAAAATGTTGATGACTATGCTGATTATGATAATGGTGGTAATACTATTACCATTGATTTGCTCATGTCCCTGTATTATGTTAGCACTGAAATATGACCAATCTGCCTGGAAACACGCATTGCCTCTTCTGCCAGCTATCTGCTAATGCATGCAAATGTTCTGTAATATAATTCGGCACAAATCTTCTGTGAGTGATTTTGTGCTCTTCAATCTCTGCTTGGAATAGTCCAACTCATCATCCTCACGGGTGGCAGATCACATACTTGTAATCACACCCTGTCTCCAATGTGGCCTATTCTTTTGCACTTGACCCAAATTAACCTCCTGAGATGTGATGTCAAAAATCACCTTTTTTTTCTTCGTTGCTTGTGCTTTTCATGTGTTTTGTTGATTTCTCTGTATTTGTTTTACTGTTTCTACTTATTTTTGCTTTATTTATGTGGTATAAATACTACAATCGTAGAAAAATGGTTTTAAAACAATGGTTTTCAAGGTAATTTACTAACTAAAATTCCTACATTTCTAAAAGTCTCTGATGAATGGTAAAATGTGCTTGAATTGTGCGCAATTAACCCTTTTTTGGTTAAAGTGGTTTAGAAGTACTTGAATTATTGAATAGTGAACTCTACAGTTCATTCGGGTGAATCAACTAAAGTGATTTTCACATGTTATCTGATTGGTCAATAAATAGGACATATGCTGGGTATAAATTCCTTTCATTTACAGACAGTCTGATTTGGTAACTAGATCAAATTGCTGAACTTTAAGAAACTGGTCAGGTTTAAACTTTGCACCAAGGGAGCAACCACTCTATGCTATTGTTGGCTACAAACCAAGCCAGAGCAATCACCAAGCGTTTCTGACGGCCCTGTTAGCAGATCAGGCTGGATAAGGGAGCGAGGACATGGGTGTGAATCAGCTGGTCCCTTTGACACCACAGATGGCTGTTCACACCATTGTTTGCATAAACTTCCTGTGACTTCAGTGATGGCTGCAACTGGCCGCCCCCAGGCTGCTATCTTCTATCACCAGCAACTGCAGATAAATTCCCCTTGTATGTGAAATAGGATAAGTTGTAGTTTTCAAAGGTGACTACTTCTGCGATTTTCATAACTAGAAAAAAAACATTATTTATATTGGCCGTTAATTATGAAACAACACTGCTTTGTTACAGTAGAGTGTACAGTACAGACACCTGGTTGCTTGATTTTGATTACAGAATGTATTTAGTCCCATTCTCCACATACACAGTGCGCTGCTGTTATGAAGCATCATTAAGCTAAGCTAAGCTAATCAACTGTCTCATACTGTATTAAGTGTTTGCTGCTGCTCTAACACACAGTCTGCTGCATTTGGCTTCATTTGTTTGTGAGCAAACAGGAGGATGGAAAAATAATGTAAATCTCTGCATCAAAAATGTAAATGATATAGTTAAAGGCAAAGGTAACCACACAGGCCAGTGTTACAGAGGTCTGCAGCCAGCATTATACAAGGACATACATAGTGGTTGCACTTACCATAACCCTTGTAACACTGTATACTGTAGAGCTGTATTACCCAGCATTTGTGGAAATGATTATAAGTCACAGACCTAGAGATACATTCAGTAATTCAGTGTCGTAAGATTTTAACATGTTTTCAAAACACTTTTTATAAACATAATTTCCAGGGTTTAATATGCATTTGGTTTTTGCCTAAGGTTGTTATGATGACACACACACAGTGTTGTTGTTGACAACCTCAGGCTTTGTGAACATAGCAGGTCACTATGGCTTGACATTATTGTAGCTACCTGTGCTCTACACTGCAGGGATTCACTAAAATACAGATCTTTATCTGAGTTTTGCATTAAAAACACCTTACACTCTGAATACAATTAATGTCAATATCTACAAGAAAATGTTGACTGTTGATAGCCTAATTCATTTTCAGTGGGATTATAGATATAAGTAATACATATGTCTTCTTTATGAGTCCCTCTCTCTCAATCGTTTTTATTTACTTGATGATTAAATTGAAATAGTTTTTAGAGGTAACTTTTATTTAGTTCTTGTCTTATTTTCACCATGAAAAATTGCCAATATTTTTCCTCATATTTTCCCTCAAGGAAATAAACATGAATTATCGCCAGCTGCCAGGTGGTGAATCTAGAATGCATGGCAACCAGCTTGTGATTTGTTGGTTCGATTGGTTGCTCTGCGTGGTAATTTAATGGCTTTAAGATCTTTTCTGTAGACATATGGCTGAACACAATGTTCAAAACTGCTTTGACATCATTACAACAAGGTTTATGGCTGCTCTGAATACAGTGGTTGTTGTAGATGTATAGCACTATTAGCACAATATATCTAACTCCATAGTGTTATTTTGACTTTCTTCTAATGGCGCCAGCCCTAGTATTGAATGCCCTTTAGTTCAAAAGGCTGCATCAAACACATGATATTTCAAAGATCAGTAACAATGTTTATGGTCCCAAGGGACCCCGGGATTCCACCGGGTCCGTCTGCGCCGCGTTACAGCCGCGTTACAGCCGCGTTACAGCCGCGTTACGGCCACTCTAGTCAATGGGTGCTATTCCACCAGACGCGCCGCGTTACGGCTCAGAAGTGTCCCAGAAGCGTCTCGGCGCTGGGCTCCGCTAAAAATAGGCGGCTGGTCTATTTTTGACGCGAGGCTTTGCATAGCGCCGGGCAGGAAGTGGAAAGTGCAGAGCATCCAGTCAATCCCCAAAATAAACTAATTTTGCAGACCCTAGCCCTCCATAGTCTTTCAAGTAGGAGGAGAAATGCCAGCGTTCTCCTCCGGTTTACAGGCACTGTGTAAATTATATATATATAGAATAATTATGATGATGAATGCATGTCTTTTGCGGGGCAGCAAAGGCAGAACAAGAGGAATATTTATTGTTTTATCAAGTACGATGAACACTAAGCAGGCCTTCCACCTTACTTCTCCAGATCTACAGTAATTGGCGATGGGGGAGTACAGTATAATTAAGTCACACAGTCATCCAGAAGGAGCGTTTGCTCTTTTTTAAAAGAGGTGCTCTTCAACATTTTCAGTGGGAGAATGGCTTTTTTCTTTTTTTCGCAGAGCCTGAGCAGAAGATAAAATATATTAAATATTACTATTTTCAATATATTGAAAGGTCATTAGGTCACTGACAATTTGGTTAAAACCTGTCTCCAAACCAGTGTGTTAAGCTTCTAACATAGATATTTAGGTAACTAATAGTTAGAATTAACAAGTTAAGGCTATAATGAAAATACAAAGCTTGTTGTAAGACCTTTATTTCGAAATCGGTGCCTGTGGTCTGTTTTCCACAGTACACAATCTCTGCAGCAGAAGTGAAGTTCTTTGTTGGGTTATTGACTCATAAGGTAGATCAGAGGTGATTCTCGTTAATCATAGCAGTAAGACTGTCATAGTTCAACTTAAAAAGATGACCATGTCATGCTTGGCAAGATCTCATGGCACATCCCTTGTTCATTTTGTCTTTTAAATTAATCATGTCTCAATCTGAACTCAAAGAATGTGTTGATGCTGGAAAGATAGGATTCATGTGACACTCCTCAGGCTCTGCCACAGAAGTAATGTGTGTGATAAAAGCCTGACCCTGTTGCACTGCTGCCCTGGCTAATTCTACTGAGCTGACATGATAACATCACGTCAAATAGATGTTCCAGGCTGGAAGTATATTGTAGCCCCACTGAGGTTTTTTCACAGCCATATCCTTTGGCAGTATATATTACATGAATACAAATAATGGTGCACATTGACACTGTGTGAATTAAAGAGGCAATATTGATGTTCAAAGAACTCAATAATGTTGCTCAGCAATGGCACAATCAGTTAGGGAACTACTTATCTAAGTGCTAAACCAACCCAGTCTCACATCTAAACGTGTAATAACTACGTTGGTCCACAACTTGGGACGTAGTATTTCTACAAAAACGCCTCTGAAATTGTAGGATCCCTACATTTTTTTTCACCATTCATTTCCAATGGCTGGCGTCTATGTCACATGATCTTCAACTTTCTCTCCGCAGAAATAAAAAAACATGGCCGACCTTCGTTTTATTCTCGGTAGAAAATGCCTATTTTAAGGTTAGTTTGGCCATTAAAATGCGTTTCGATGTCATTTGATGCGAGAAATATGAGTTGTTATTTCAGATTATGTGTGCAGTGGATGTACATGATCTTTAGTTTGCTAGTTATTACGAAGAATACTTCAGGAAATTGTGTAAATACAACGTTTTCATTGTTACCAAGGTGGTTGCTAGGGACGCTGCTATCGATATTATGTCTGTTATGTTGTGTAACTGTTTAATGGTGTTATCTTTATTGCTACCCCGTCAATTTATAGTGTTGGTCCACAGCGCAAACGTATTAGTTTAACAAAATCCGCATCTAAAATTGTGGCATAGATACGTTATTTTCCCCTGTGCAATTCTCCAACCCAGTCTCACATCTCACATCTCACATCGTCATACTGTAAACACCGGAAACAGACGTATGCAAGATCCCCAGCTCGGTGATTGGACGATTTAGCCGCAATGCACATTGGGAAATGGTGTTTATTATCTGAAAACAGGAAGAACTGCCGCCAAAACTGAAAACGTGACGTGGATCATAAATATATCAGCAATTAAACAACATCTTAGATTTATTTTCACACAATACGTCTCCTTGCAGTATCAACACTAATTCGGCTGACTTTTATATTTGATCCAATTGGTAGATAGGCTGTATTTACACCATAACGGTGCACAGCTGATAGAAAGGGACACCTACTGGATAAAGCACGTTATTGAATTTTATTATTTGTATTATTAGATATTAATAGGATCCCTATAAAGTATATTCATTACTCGTTATTCTCTACTAATAGTTAATTAAAGACTGTATATAATGACTATTTTGCACATCCCTTTCAAGATTTCAAGATTTTCTAAGGTTTATTGACATCATATTATACACAACTACGGTGTAGTTATGCAATGAATGAAAAACTTGGGTAGTCATAAGGTTTAATTAACTATTAGTAGAGAATAACGAGTAATGAATATACTTTATAGGGATCCTATTAATATCTAATACAAATAATAAAATTCAATAACGTGCTTTAACCAGTAGGTGTCCCTTTCTATCAGCTGTGCACCGTTATGGTGTAAATACAGCCTATCTACCAATTGGATCAAATATAAAAGTCAGCCGAATTAGTGTTGATACTGCAAGGAGACGTATTGTGTGAAAATAAATCTAAGATGTTGTTTAACTGCTGATATATTTATGATCCACGTCACGTTTTCAGTTTTGGCGGCAGTTCTTCCTGTTTTCAGATAATAAACACCATTTCCCAACGTGCATTGCAGCTAAACCGTCCAATCACCGAGCTGAGGATCTTGCATACGTCTGTTTCCGGTGTTTACAGTATGACGATGTGAGATGTGAGATGTGAGACTGGGTTGGAGAATTGCACAGCGGAAAATAACGTATCTATGCCACAATTTTAGATGCGGATTTTGTTAAACTAATACGTTTGCGCTGTGGACCAACACTATAAATTGACGGGGAAGGGGGTAGCAATAAAGATAACACCATTAAACAGTTACACAACATAACAGACATAATATCGATAGCAGCGTCCCTAGCAACCACCTTGGTAACAATGAAAACGTTGTATTTACACAATTTCCTGAAGTATTCTTCGTAATAACTAGCAAACTAAAGATCATGTACATCCACTGCACACATAATCTGAAATAACAACTCATATTTCTCGCATCAAATGACATCGAAACGCATTTTAATGGCCAAACTAACCTTAAAATAGGCATTTTATACCGAGAATAAAACGAAGGTCGGCCATGTTTTTTTATTTCTGCGGAGAGAAAGTTGAAGATCACGTGACATAGACGCCAGCCATTGGAAATGAATGGTGAAAAAAAATGTAGGGATTTTACCATTTCAGAGGCGTTTTTGTAGAAATACTACGTCCCAAGTTGTGGACGAACGTAGTTATTACACGTTTAGATGTGAGACTGGGTTGGCTAAACTGGTATAACAGCTCCCATTCATTAATATGTGTTATTCTAGATTTACTAGCACACAAAATCAAAAAGAATATAGAAATAGTCCCCGACAAAAATTCCGTAGTCCTGTTTTAATAATATGTTCTAAAAACTACCGTGCTCAGTTGTTTTTGATGGTGACTAAGCCTTTTTAAATCATATATTCGTTACTTGTTATATGTAGGCTAAGTGTTAAGTAGTAACACATTGGTTTAAGGCTTAGAAATACAGACAGAGTGTAATTTGGTACATTTAGAAAATCTGGAGGTACATTGTTGGTTTGATTTTTCAATCAGATTGTGTTTCTTACAACGGAAACAGCTTTTTCTTTTCACGTTCAAATGTATTAAAGCCAGAGAACAGACTGTTGCTGTAAATATTGTCGCATGCATGTAACTGACAAACCTTTCTTCTAAAAATGATTTATTTAGTCTTTTCTTGTCAAATATCTATTGTTCCCCTCTTAATTTAAATATAAATGTATAATTTCACAGTTTCAACATCCGGTGTATATTCCCTCATACTAGTCATGTAGCAAATACTGAATTATTAAGAGAATGAATCATGTTCTGCAAACAAATGGGTACAATTAACACTTTGGTACATGGGCCACAATATAATATGTGTATGTTTATATGCGTGGGAAAGAGCTTGGATTGTCCATACGGTGCAGACTTGAGGAAGCAAAACTGTTAACACCAGAGGAATGTCACAGGCTTGTCAGGCTTACTATATGATCAGCAGGTGGTTAGTGTGGTCATAATACATACTGCTCAGGCTAATCCTTCTCAAACCTTCTTAGCCAGCTAATATGTCTCTGTTTTTCCCTCTTCTTCTTCTCCCTCTCCTCTTTACAGGCCAGCACAACTACCTGTGTGCGGGGAGAAATGACTGCATCATTGATAAGATACGGAGGAAGAACTGTCCAGCTTGCCGCTTCAGGAAATGTCTTCAAGCCGGAATGAACTTGGAAGGTAAACAGTCAAACCCATCTTTAAATCAGGCTTCATTATAACTGAGTTTAAAGTGGGACAGCAGTCATTTTGCTTTTATAATGTGTGGAATTTCCAAACAGATTAGGTCGTTAGGGTGGAGTTATTGCAGGGTTTTTCTCCAAATGGGGCGTGGCCTAGCAACAACTGGGCAATATGGAGCTGTAGAGGACTGTTAGACTCCACCCACTCCCTCCTTACCCACCTCACAGCTGAGCATAAGGGAGAAATGAAAATTGAGACCTTTAAATGTTGACAACTGACAACTGATCAACGTCTGCTTCTATGACATTGCTTTGCTGGCTACACACATGATAACAGTCAAGTGAAGTTTCATATGATGGGTGGTGTTCACCCAAGAACCCAGAAATGGAGCCATATTTGATATGAGAAATGTATATATATCCTCCCAAAGTGCAATCCTCATAAACATTTTAACATTTTACAATTTAAACTTCGACATATATTTGGAATATAATGTAAGAGATTATAGAAATCATACAGTGACACAGAATTCAAACTTCTACTTTTTACTATGTCTGTGTAATTCCCCTTCGTTGAGTGTCATGTGATTGGCTCTGCAGCCCTGCTACACACTCTTTCCACTACGACATCCAGCATGTCTCGTATGATAACTGAAAAAAGGAAAATATATAATCTTGGTTGTAGTTTAACACTAAATAATGGAGATAATGTACTTACTTATTTATAGTACTGTTTTAAGCTTTTCCCATACATCTTAACAAGTTGAGATATGTTTAATTATGTCAAATAAAATACAGTATCCACTGTAATTTTACATTCAAAGGCTTTTGTTGGAATACTATTGGTAGCCTAGATTTTGAAAGCAGTATTGTATTTAAAACAATATGACATGAGGGAAATAAACAACCCAGTGAAATGCATGGGATAACATCAATTGAATGATCGATTTATACAAAGAGGGAAGAAGGGTATATCAACTAATTAAATATTGACTAACTTATTACCATTGCTGTGAACATACAGTATGTAATGGGCAATTAAAGCAGTACTGTGTAAGGCATGCATTCACAGAGCAAACATAATTGAAACATACTTTCCCTTATATCTTCCTCTTTTACTTACCATATTGTCATTTCTCCTTATCTTAAAAGATCTCTGCCTCTGCCTTAACTTTTTTATTTGTTGCTGTTCCTCACAATGACTTCTTATGTAATAATCTTAATCTGTTCCTGTAGGAATAAAGTTAGGGTATTATTACTCACTATGTGGGCTTTTCACTTTTAGTCAGTTACAATGATTTATTTTTAGATGGATAATGACAGTGAGAGAGACGAAAACAGATCCCCTTTACATTTTTAAAGTCCTTTTTGAAATGTTGCTGGTTTATGAGACTCTGGATTTGTGAATGCATGTCTTCTGGCGTTAGTCACTCACCTGTGAACATGTGCGAGTGTATAAGCCATTGTCAATGGATGTGCTGTTCTGTACACATGTGCTGGTTTACAGCTGAGGCAGTATGAGAGCTCCAGCTCCTCAGGAACATACGTCAATTCAAAATCCACTGTCAAGTCCCGCCTCTAGAGCCTTGGAACACTTTCTGATCCTTCACCTAATACTGCTTCAAAGGATAAATGGTTAAGAGAGGGAGAAACAATTAAAGAAGTCACATTTTAGGGAGATGGACATGGTAAGCAAAAGGTGAAGCACAACTACTCAGAATTTGGTTGTTAGGTGATTTCAGGTGATGCTTCCTCGGGGCATGAAATCACTCTGTGTGGAGTGAGATTACTTGTAGACAGTGCAGTGTTTGTCAGGCTGAGGTGAAAGTAGTTTGCTTCAGGCAGAGGACAGAGAGACAGGGAGAGGGATTTGATGGACGTCAGCGCATCAGCAGACAGGATCCCAGAAAGGCTCTCAGTTGCTATAGAAACGCCAGGAGAGGAAATTAAAAAAGGTAGAGTAGAAGAAAAAAAAACTTGTTTTTTCATGGTAACCTCTCAATGTTTTTGCACATTTAGTGGTAGACATTTCTAAAACGATGGCCAGATATTCTACATGTGTGCGTCAACACAGCAATTTGCTACTGAGAAACTGAGAAACTGAGAAAAAAACGTTTTAATGTTCTTCTGAGTAAGGGAATGTTTTTTTTTTCAGATGGTGAAGAGTTTATGGCTTATACCTGTGTAAAAACCGGCATGCTACATTCTCATAACCTTTTACTGGTTTGTTACAATTTATTGGGTTCAAAGTAATTGCACAAAACTTTCAACTCGTACGATGGTAATTGTATTACATGTGATGTTTAATAATTCATAAATAATATGATCTACAGCTGCAATTTAAAAGTTGTCTAATGTACACATTTGTCCCTTTTTAGTTTCATAACAAAAACAGGACATTTGACACTTTTGCTCCTAGAAAATTGTAACAGTGTGGAAATGGCTTATGAACATCTGCATCTCTCTCCTTCTGTCGGCAGTCTGTACATTTTATAACAAACAGTACATGCCTGTCTGGAGGAAACACATGACTTTCCATCAAATTCATTTCAGTGGTCACAATAATCTAAGTGTATCATCTATTAAACCCTAACCAACATCTTGCTGCTTTGATCTTTAATTGTATTATTCAGTTGTGTAGATGCTGTTGGTTGTAATATCAGAAATAATTAAAATACAAATGTTGAAAGCATGGCCACCTTTGCCGAATAAGTATGACTCTTTGCCTGTCTCCCAGCGAGGAAAAACAAGAAGCTGATCAAGATGAAGGTGCAGCGGCCTTCTGGACCCTCAGAGCCCACCAGCAACATGCTTGTTCCGGGCATCCCCAGACCCATCCCTCAGCTCGTGCCCACCATGCTGTCTGTGCTGAAGGCCATTGAGCCAGAGATCATTTACTCGGGCTACGACAGCACTCTGCCGGACACCTCTACGCGGCTCATGACCACTCTCAACAGGCTTGGGGGGCAGCAGGTCATCTCTGCAGTCAAGTGGGCCAAGTCACTGCCAGGTAACAAAAAGCTCCTAAACACGTGTTGTCTTTGATTTGGTTTGGTTCTATATCTGTGCTAAGAAAAGTGAGCCCCTGGGGGGTTTTCCATCTTGTTATTGAGACTAATTGGCAGTGGGACAAGTCAGTGATGTCAAATGAAGTAATTTGTCATTTGGAATACATGCAGCTGTTACAGGATATGGCAACTCTTTAAGATCAAATTGAAAAGTAAATATTTGACTTGACATTTGGTACGCCATGGTGTAGCTTTTACTTCTGCCCTCCAGTAAACCAAGCATGTGCTTGTCAACATTGTTAGCATTCCTGAATGAGACTTAAGAACACTAGTAGCCGCAAGTCAACTGGTAAAAATAATGTAAAAAATGTGATGGTTTTAACTGAAGGAACATAACTTATCATACTTATAAATGTCAAAGTGAACCGGCTAATGGCTAAAACAGGTGTTAAGACATGTTACTCTTGCCACATTTATATCTTTGATGGGGCTTTTCAGATTTAAACTGTATCTGTTAGCTGATCAAGTGGATTCGTACAGTTAATTATAAGCAAATAAGGAGTCTTTGTGTAGCTGATTTAATCATGTTGCCAGTTAGTTATCTCAATTGGTGCAGTGGTGTTCATTCTGAGTGTATTTCATTTAAGACTGTACAGATATTATAACCCATGTGATTCCTCGTGGAAGTTCATCCAAAGAACCACAGATGTTCAGCTACTATTTATAAAAAGTCTGACCTCTGTAAGGGCTCCATCTGCAATACTGACAGAACAGGTGTACAATGGTGGCTTATAAAATAATAATTCACTTTAGAAACGCTACACCTTCAAAGTACTTTTTGTGATAAGGTCATGGCTGAGGTTAATATTATTGTAATGTGCATAAAGATGATGTTCCTACAACCTGTTAAATTGTTAACATTTCTAAGCAAACATATATAGAGCACTTATATACTAATAAAGGACTGGCTTATCTAAAGCCAGTTGAGTAGCACTTGAAATGTTTTGGCTCTATGAAACCTGATGTACTTATATGATTCTGTTTTCTTCAAGTTTGTATCTTCCGGGTCGAATGTACTTATTGTAAGTCGCTTTGGATAAAAGCGTCAGCTAAATGCAATGTAATGTAATATATGGCAACCAACCATTTCCTATTTTTATTTTAAAGCAAATCAAATTACTGTATTTATAGTCAGTGTCATCTTTACTAATTACTTTTGAAAAACTCTGTGGGAACATTATAGATTAGAATTGTCATCATACAGTAGATGCAGCTTATTTACTTTACTATTTTACTGTTGCCTCAAATAGCTTAAATTCATGTCATAAATATTGTGGAAAATGCTGGATTCATTGCTGCGTAGTACCCTTTTCCAGAAAAACTCATTGTTCACCCCCACATGCTAGTTTCTAATCATGAGAAAGAAGCCACATGACTTGATAATCGCTACAAATATTTGCTTGGAATTTTTTTTCCTTCTCACTGTAATTTTTGCTATTGGTCACACTAAATCTTGGTATCAGATTTCTAAATTCAAAATGTAATGTAACCTTTATTTCACTCTGTGTTTCTCTTTCTGTGATAGTATGACAAAGAACAAACCTGGCACCAATGTTTCATGTTGTGCATTGTCCACAGCTGGCACCATGCCACAGTGATAGTGAGGAAAAGCTCTTACTGCAGACTGTGGGGGAGTTTAAAAGCCTGGGTTTCAAACAAATGCAATGTGAAAGGGCTTTTCATGTGATGTTTCACATTTAGGGTTGTAATGGTGTGTAAAAGACTGAACTGCAATTTTATTCCAATTTGAACATCTACTATACTACAACATTACATGACATTGCATTTAGCTGACGCTTTTATACAAAGCGACTTACAATAAGTGCATTCGACCAAGAAGATACAAACTTGAAGAAAACAGAATCATATCATCATAAGTACATCAGGTTTCATAAAGCCAAAACATTTCAAGTGCTACTCAACTAGCTTTAGATAAGCCAGTCCTTTATTAGTATATAAGTGCTTTGTTAGAAATTCTTTGTTAGTAATTCTATCGCTCGAAGTGGAGTCGAAAGAGATGTGTTTTCAGTCTGCGCCGGAAGATGTGTAGGCTTTCTGCTGTCCTGATTTCAATGGGGAGCTCATTCCACCATTTTGGAGCCAGGATAGCAAACCGACGTGTTTTTGCTGATGGGAACTTGGGTCCCCCTCGCAGTGCTGGTGCAGCGAGCCGTTTGGCCGATGCAGAGCGGAGTGCACGTGCTGAGGTGTATGGTTTAACCATGTCCTGGATGTAGGAAAGGCCAGATCCATTCACAGCATGGTACGCTAGTACCAGTGTCTTGAAGTGGATTCTAGCAGTTACCGGAAGCCAGTGAAGGGAGCGGAGGAGTGGCGTGGGAAAATGTTGGAAGGTTGAAGACCAGACGAGCCGCTGCATTCTGGATGAGCTGCATAGGTCGGATGGCACATGCAGGTAGACCAGCCAGGAGGGAGTTGCAGTAGTCTAGGCGTGAGAGGACGAGAGCCTGGGCCAGAAGCTGCGTCGCTTCCTGGGTCATGAGGGGACGTATCCTCCTGATGTTGTAAAGCGTGTATCTGCAGCAGCGGGTTGTAGCAGCAATGTTTGCAGTGAAGGACAGTTTGTTATCTAGGGTCACACCCAGATTCCTTGCAGTCTGAGTCGGGGAAACGGTAGAGGTGCCGATGTTGATTGTTAGGTCAAGAGTGGGACAATCTTTTCCCGGAAGGAAAAGCAGTTCAGTCTTGTCACGGTTGAGCTTGAGGTGGTGATCAGACATCCACTGAGAGATGTCAGCTAGACAAGCAGAGATGCGTGCGACGACCTGGGTCTCTGAGCGGGGAAAGGACAGAATTAATTGGGTGTCGTCGTCAGCGTAGCAGTGGTATGAAAAACCATGCGGGCTAATGACAGATCCGAGCGAGTTTGTGTACAGAGAGAAGAGGAGGGGACCAAGGACAGAGCCCTGAGGAACCCCTGTAGTTAATTGACAAGGGTCGGACTCGGACCCTCTCCAAGTTACCCTGTAGGTACGGTCTTTGAGGTATGAGGTGAGGAGGGAAAGTGCAGAGCCTGAAACACCAAATTCTTGGAGAGTGCGAAGGAGGATCTGATGATTCACCGTGTCGAATGCAGCAGACAGGTCCATGATGACAGAGGAGAGGGAAGCTGCTTTAGCCGTGTGCAGTTCCTCAGAGACAGCAAGGAGAGCAGTTTCTGTGGAGTGACCTGCCTTGAAACCAGACTGGTGCGGATCCAGAAGGTTGTTCTGATGGAGATAACAGGAGAGTTGTTTAAAGACAGCGCGTTCAAGTGTTTTAGACAGGAACGGGAGGAGAGAGACAGGCCTGTAGTTTATAACATCAGACCGGTTGAGAGTGGGTTTCTTTAGGAGAGGGTTTACTCTTGCCTCCTTGAGACTGTTTGGAAAGTGACCAGAAGTTAGAGAAGTGTTGATGAAATGGGTGAGAAATGGTAGAATATCAGGAGCGATAGTCTGAAGGAGGTTTGAGGGGATAGGGTCCAGAGGACAAGTGGTAGGACGGGCAGAGGTAATGAGGCTAAGAACCTCACTTGGAGAGAGAGGGGGAAAGGAGGTTAGTGTGTGGGTGAAAGGTGGGTCTGGAGACCCAGCGGTGAGTCAGAAAAAGAAGAGCGAATATCATCAACCTTTTTTTCAAAGTAGTTAACAAAGTCGCTTGACAGAAGGGAGGAGGGGGAAGGGGCTTTGGGGGGTTCTAAGAGGGTGGAAAAGATGGAAAATAGTTTTTTGTGGTTAGAATATGAAGAATGGATTTTATCTTGAAAGAAAGTGCTTTTTGCCTGAGAGATCGAAGCAGAGGGAGAGGAGAGCCTGGTAGGTTAGGAGGTCGTCATGGTGTTTGGATTTCCACTGTTACAACGTACTATTTTGGTTTGTTGTCTTTAAATTATGTATTGGGTAATTACATTTTAATTTGTTCAATGTTTCTTAATCTCTTTTAGTCAATATTTTGCTGTCCTTCTTTATAAAACAAACTTAATTATGTGAAATATTTTTCAGGCAGCAACATACGCCATCACCTTAGTAAATCAGTTAAAACACATTTTACACTATTTTGAATGAAATGCAGTTTAATAAATACTATTCTGTTGACCTAAGGTCTTCAACAAAGGACTTATTGTTCAAATGTCACTTTCTAATCTACTTTATCTGACTTTCCAAGGCTTCCGCAACCTGCACCTGGATGACCAGATGACATTGCTGCAGTGCTCATGGCTCTTCCTCATGTCCTTCAGTCTGGGTTGGAGGTCGTACGAGCAGTGTAACGGTAGCATGCTCTGCTTCGCCCCTGATCTCGTCATCAACAAGTGCGTACCAAAGCCAGCTTTTTGTGTATCTATGCAGTCTTTTCTTCAGCACAACCATTTACAGCCTATTCTTCGTTTGCTCATTTCAGAGTGTCTGACTTCATCACTTGGCTTAACCACTTGCCAATGACTCCTTGAGTTTACTGGAAATAATTCGCTGAATGTTCATTTATTAAATCATGATAAAAGAAACCGCTAATGGCACAATGTGTTATTAGACAAAGACCTTTGTACAGGGGAAGTTAAGGTTTATTTGCCAGGAGCTGATTGGGTTAGCCTAGCATTAACACTTCAAGTAGGGGAAAACAGCTAGCCTGGTTCTGTCCAAAGATTACAAATTCACACATTTACAGCACAGTTATTAATGTTTTGCATCCTTTAATCCCTTATTTCTAGATTTGGGGTTTTATATGAAGTGAAATACTTTAGGTATTTGTTGCTTCTTGACGAAGCTAAGTAGCTATTTACCGCCATGCTTCCACTGTTTCAGCTAATCTAATTGCATCCTGGTGTATTGATCTCTCAAAAAATACATAAATGTTAAGTACTGTATGTATTTGATTAATGTATCTTAGTGTAATGTTTTATCTTTGATCAAAGTACAACATTTCAGTGATCATTTTAAATACTTTGAGATTGAGATACATCTTGGTTACTACGGTTTGAAAAATTGGTCATGGATTTTGTTTTTTTAAGGAGTCTGATGAGACCAGTAGGAATTTAGAAGTGCAGTGTTAATTTCCCCAAATAATGAAGGTTTTTTTAATCATATTGACTGGCAAGATTGCTACAAACACTGAGCTCTCGCTCCTGACAAGGTGCAAACAGATCCTGTTTATTGGATGTAGGTAGAAAGAGTAGGCTCAAACTGTGAACATCCGCTCTCGAAGGACACAAACTGCAAGAGGGGTAAAAATAGATATGAAAGGTGAACAAGTCTTCACCGGTAGCACTGCAGCTGGGCAGAATGAATAGACTTCTCTAAACCCAAGGCTATGGATGAGGAGAATGCGCTGTATTGATTTTAGAGGTTGAAAGTAATACATGCTGTGTGTTAGTGGAAGTGAGGTGTGAAAATCCATCAAGACTGATTTCACAGTCCGGTTTTTCTCTTGCACGGTTGTGGCGCTTTCCTGCTGGGGCTGTTTATTTAGACTTTAATAACAGGGTGAGTGAAAGAGCTTTAACTCTATATCTCTGTGTTTTCCTTCTTGTCTATCCCCCTCTGTCTCCATCCGTTCCACACGTCTCCCTCATCTCCACTTTCTCCCTTGCCCTTTCTTTTCAGAGAACGCATGAAGCTGCCCTTCATGACCGACCAGTGCGAGCAGATGCTGAAAATCTGTAATGAGTTTGTCAGACTGCAGGTGTCCTATGACGAGTACCTGTGCATGAAGGTCCTGTTACTGCTTAGCACAGGTAATGAACAAGCTTCTCATTGTAAATCACATTTACTGTAATGCGGTGTTTTCATACTTCAGGAACAAACTTCAGCACTTATTGTAGAATTCATTAATTATCACTTTTTATATTTAAAAACTAGGTTTTACTGCTGCAGCCTATTAGCTCACCTTCTCACAGTAGGGTAGCACACTTAGTGGAATGCAGACAGACTGCTTCGTAAATGCAAATGTAGGCTCATGCTTTCGCACTATCGTTGGATGAGTACATATGTGTGGTCGATAGGATAGATTTGAATAGATTAATCTCTCAGTTCCAAGCTCAGTTTTTTTTAAATACACATTAAAAAAAAAAATGTCTGTACTTACATAACCACAACGCACACATTCGATTGTTCCCTTTTGCATAATCAAAGCATTGTGATCCGCACTTGCACACAATGTATGAAACTATTTTAGCTTTATGATTAATGCAGCAAAACCATACAAACCCACAGTTAAATGTAGTGCCCTGAAAAGACAAGACGTTTAAAATCAAGTGTCTTAAATCTGGATATTAACACTTACAGATTTCTGACCTTTTACTGGTATGATCCTGTCTTAAGATGCTTTTTACCCTACAGAGGGCTTTTGTAACAACTCCATCACGCCATCCAGTTTTCTAAGCTTTCCTGAAAACTGTTTTTTGGCAAAAATACAGTCTGTTCATCTTCTGTTGTCACTGTCTCAGTTGAAAAGATCTTAAAGTGTCCCACAGGTACTTCATCTCTTGGACAGCCCTTTTTGTTCTCCCATTTACGGAAAGCTGCCCTGTATCGTAACCATACATTCGGTTCAGTAGCTTGTCTCAAAATGATAAACATCACAGTGAGGTCAACTAAGTTTCTTATATCACAGTATAATACGCTAGCTTTTTGTCTTTCATGGATATCATCAAAATTGCACATTGCCTAAATAAGAGCATGTAACAAACACGATGTTACATGAAATGCTTTCTCCCCAATACTGGCTATAAAAGCATTGGCCTACTAGTCTAACTTTGTAGTGAGTGCCCTTTACATTTTCAGCTTTTAAACTGAATCAAATGTCTTCCTAATTATGTTAATAACTGTGTTGTGAGGAGTGGAGCATTCCTCCCCATGCCTCACTCCCTGTGAAGGGGAAAGGATGCACTTTAGAGGTGATTTTCTCGTTATGCAGAGGAAATGACATTTCCACACTGAGCCCTTCTTGCATTCTCGTACCTAAGAACTGTTTCCATCTGTTCCCCTCCGGGATGGAAATACTGTCAGCTGCGTTGAGCTGTTTTAATCATTTATCGTGCATGTGAGTGAAAAGTGACCTATGGGACAATTTGATTTACTGTTAAACACAAGTGAAAAGTTCAGAGGGCCAACTTCACTTTCAGCAGATTTGAAGACAGAATTTAAAAAGGTATTTTAAAAAAAGCCCAAATAGGTCATTAGAGCTCTTCTCTACTAAGTGTTATATAACAACACATCGTTTTCTTTTATCCAAAATAGAACGCAGGATAGGCAGTCTGTCTCACTCTTACACTCTTTGCCAATGCATTATTAGGAGGCCAGATAGCATTTGCACTGTGGTATCTCCCATTTATCTGATTATGTAAAACAGACAGCATTTCACCTTGACCATGCCCTCTGTGGCTTTGCATAATCTATTGGCCAGTTACTGTGGCTTTGCCTGGGCGCAGTGCGAGACACCAGACTGACAAGGGGTCCGTGGTGTGTTGACATGGTTGTTATGACAACTGCATTTTGATGTTCTTAGGCCATGACGAGCACAGTCCAAAGCTCCAGTGTGTGATCTTTAAAATAAAGTGTAAATGCAGAGTTTGTGATTTTTATGAAGACATTAACTGCTCCTCTCTCAGATTCTCATCCAGGCCACACCAGTTACGGAACATTTAGCATAAAAGCTATTTATGTTTAGTGTTGCATATGTTCCACTGCCTACAGCATTCTGGTTCTTAGTCAGCATCTCCCAAGTGTCCTGGTTGGGGACCTACACAATAAGTTTTAATGGAATATGAATGTATATGGCTGTTTTTTGCAGCAGAGTACAGAATAAAGAGAGGACTAAGACAATAAGCTGCAGGATTTTCCGTTTGACACAGATGTAGAAGACTGGAGCTCAAGCCACAATAAAACATTTAGAATCTTTGGTTTTTACGATGTCTTTTTGTTATTATCTTTTTTATTGCAATCCTGCTATTGCCAGATAACTTTAACACTTCTGTCTCTTGGTGTCTGTGTCTGTGTTTTATATATGTGTGTGTGTGTAGTACCGAAAGACGGCCTGAAGAGCCAGGCGGTGTTTGACGAGATCAGGATGACGTACATCAAGGAACTGGGGAAAGCTATCGTCAAAAGAGAGGAGAACGCTAGTCAGAACTGGCAGCGTTTCTACCAGCTCACTAAGCTACTGGACTCAATGCAGGAGGTCAGATAAACACACACACACAAATACACACAGACTGTTGTGTATTGCATGCCTTGTGTTTTCTGTGCGCTCTATATGGTTTGCTACATATTATAGGCAGGAAAGCAGATGTATAAAGCATTTTAGAATTGTACCATGGCTTCCTTTTAGGTCTCTTTTTTCTGTGCATCAATAACTTCCACTGAGTTTCCTGCTGGTTAGTCTAAAACCCTGAAGCATGAACTCATATCCCACTAAGTGCATTACTGTATGTTCCATTCAAATCTGTTACAAGCTCTCTATATCTGTCGCTTTCTGTAAAGCCTCTTTATTGCAGAAGTAAAGACCTTCTGTATATAGAATCCAAGGCTAATTCGATGTTAATCCTGCAACATGTTGTTTAATATCTAATAGACTCACTAATCTGTATGTCTGTGGATGTCTCTTCCAGATGGTGGAGGGTCTTCTCCAGATCTGTTTCTACACCTTTGTGAATAAAACCCTCAGTGTGGAATTCCCGGAGATGCTGGCAGAGATCATCACCAACCAAATACCAAAATTTAAAGATGGGAGCGTCAAGCCTCTGCTGTTTCATCAGAAATGACTGCCTTAAACTGTGAAGCAATGCCTTAAATCCTGCCCTGACCACGAACCTCTCATGGGGCCCCAAGTTTTCGACCCCAGGCCCTAAACCTTCTCTTGTCCTGCCTCTCCCAGCACTCGGATTTGATTCCTCCGTTTTCCCAGGCCCTTTAGGAATTCATCCACGCCCCTCAAGGCCTCAGCCGGTCAACCTTATATCGGAGCACAATCCCTCGCCTCCCATCGCCTCACGCCTCCCCATGTGGTCCCAGGTCGGGCCAAGCTACTGTGGGCAACCCTACCACCGACCTGAAGCCCTTCCTTTTGGCTAACCAAGAAGAAAATGTCATACAGGGGAAATATGTTGGCGTTGAATGTCTCATGGGCAGGATGCATTTTGGGAATCTATTTTCTATTTCATTTTTCCAGGCCCCTCCTCCGTCCATGGCCCTGTCCTCAGGTTTTTAATGCAGTTTCTTTTGGTGGCCGCCCGCCTCTTACCCTCTCCTGCCTCCAGTTTTGTATTGTTGTTTTTAATGACAAGCCAATATCTAGAAAGTCCTTTTCCGCCCTCAACACGACACCTCATATTGTGTCCAACTTGTTAGATTAGCAGCATATTGAAGTACGAGTTCAAGCCTACAGTTCCTCTGCTCACCTGCCCACATGTCTCTGTTTGTGCCCCCCCCCCCCCCCCCCCCCCAGCTCCACTGTGCAGAGAATGTAGTACGTGTTCACTTGTTGTGGTTTCTACTGATTCTTTGGCCATGAAGGGGATTAACATAAACACAGACAAATGACTGTAGAAGCATACTCTAACATGAGAACATCTCTTCTTCTGGACTAAAGGACATTAAGGACAAACTGCTTTCAGCTGGGAATCATTAATCATTACTGAAATGATTTGAATCAGATTTATATACCTGACCAATGAAAGAAAATAACTGGAATATTATTATATATAATATTCATTTATTTTATGCAGACACGCATTTCTTACCACAGATGCAGGCCATGCTTACAAATGCACAACATACAACAGTATTTGCAGACACACATTCACTTAGCAAAATGTTTACACAGGATGTATCTGAGAAGGGAAAATCAGTGCCTTTTAGCTTTTAAAGCTCTTCATAGCCATCCTCTATAAACCACGTTTTTGCTTTTTGCTTAACTATCTACCTTGACAAATGTCCACATATTATTTCTGTTTTCGTTTTTCCACGCTGGCAATTTCTGTTTCCTTTCCAAGCAGCTGTTTTCTGTGTTTTTGGTGTGGGCAGCTCTCATTGTTTTGATCCTCAGACGTACCCCCCCGATGTGGGCTCCTTTAGGAAGACAGCCTATTGTACAAGTTAGAAATACTCAGAGCAGTATGAAATATGAAGATTTTATATTTGAATGTCATAAGAAAGTTTAAGAATCACAGAAAATAGACAGGGAAACTATCAAAACAATATTTAAGTCCCAAAACACATTATGTGTGTCTCTTTTTCCCATGTAAAGTATATTTGATTAATATACTGCATCTCCCAATCAGTTACTTAAAGTTCCAGTAAACAGAATATGTCAGCAGATATAATGTTAAATACAATCCAAGTTCTTTAACAAGGTTGTAACGATCTTCAACCCCATCGGTGCTAAATGGACACCACTGGAATTAAACTAGGCATATCTGATGTTTTATAATATTTAGGGTTCATTTAAATCAAATTTGTTTACAAACCTTTGCAATTTATTCAGATGCAATCACACAGGTGGGGTTTTAAAAACTAAATTGCCTGAAAAAGAACACCCAAGGCGTCTGTGTGTTAGTAAATAGCCGTCATGATTCAAGCGAGCCTGATTTAAATTAAAATTGTCCTTTCTTTCCCGGCTGCATATACTTACTTTCTCGTTTAGTAAATGGTTTCATACAACTTTACTTTTAAATGTGGTTTTATTGACTTACCTGGTCAGACTGCCTGTTCCCACTACCAGTGATCACAGGAAGGTCAAAAAGGAAAGAGTTCACGGTGTGTTTTATAAAATGATTACTAGACTGGTTGGGTTTTCAAAATAAGGTACCATGAAAACAGTAAGTACTACACCGTGCTCAAACCTCAGAAGTACTGAGAAGTGACATAAATGACTTTATCATATATTAATTCAGGTAAACAAAAAGCATATTATTGTTGACAAAAGTACTGCATTTCACTCTAAATAGCATTTTAGATTAAATATAACCTTCATCTCAAATAGTTTGCACAAACAGGAAGTGGGGTTATTATAAAGTAGTTTAACTCAACACGATTAAAAGATAATTCAATTCCATACATAATTATATTTTTTTTGTATATGAGATATAGACAAATAATATATAAATAGACACCCATAATATATGGAACCTCTGTTCCCAGCACAGGATTTCACCTCTAAAATTGAGATATTTTTTGGGAAGAAGATGCAGTTTGATCCAAATAAAGTGAATCAAAGCTCAGGCTGAGTGACTACATCACTTGGATGTGTTCCACTAGTGCCAAATGTTATATCACATTTTGATATGTCTTTTCTGGAGATGTGTAGGAGTGATTAATCAGTTGGGAGACAACAACACTTGTTTTTTTTTTTACCTTTGCTTCAGGGCGCTCAGATGTTCAGTGTCACACCTACACCAGCTTAAACGTACTGATTGTTATCGTCCAAGTTAAGTATATGATGGACTTTTTTTGGAGATGCACAATATATTGTATTTTTGAAATTGCAAGGTCAACAGTAATATCTTCTACTGTTAAGCGGGTGGTGGTCAGCATTTAATACATTTGTAATGTGAAAACATGTTCATACCAGCTTATGTGATGGCCAAAGCAAAACACACACACAGTGCAGTTGTTCATTGGCTTCGGCTAAAAGCTCAACCACAACCCCCCCCCCCCCCCCCCTCATCTATTTTCCTCAATGTTTTCCTGCCTAAAATGTCGACCGTATAGATTTTCAGCTGTTCACTCTGCACGGTACTCATCCCTCTGCTGCACATAACTCCGAATGGCAGTTAACAGACCAGGTAGCACGTTGCCATAGAGACCGGTCATTTGTGTGTTACTTACAGCTAACAGCACAGCAGACTCTGGACAAGCCACTATTCAATAAAAGCCATCACGTTTTTAATCAGCCATTCTGCCAGAGGATGGTTACTGTCAGCAGGGTTGTTTCGTGTACAGTGCAGGCTTTCAGCTTTACTCGTAAACTCTCGTGGCCTTTTGCTGTGAAGAACACGGGCTTGTGCCGCTCACGTTAATGTGGATTATTCCGGGGAAGATTTGACTAAACTGTCTATTTGGTGACTTGTGCATACAGTATTAGAGATGTTTCCAGATGGGTGCTTCAGAAAAACCAGCTTTAACATGTAGACCTAACCACATCCCTGCTCATCTCTAAATGGCCATAGGTGTATATAGCAGCGCCGACATATCCAGTGCAATGTAAACAGTGTCTATTATTACAAAATATTTTTACAAGGACATTACCTCTATACTCCTATACATTTTTATTTTACCTTTCAACTACATGTAAAGGCCTTGCGAAAGGGAGACAAAGAGCCATATAAATATAATTTCAAATCAGGAAATAGATAAACCCCTAACAAATATCAATGCTTTGGGAAATTGATCTAGTGTAAAAAATATTTTCTGCAATTTTGAATAGATCAACCTGATCCTCTTTGATAGGAATAATTTTACCCAATCCTTTTTGTACATTGAACAAATCGAGAAAGTAAATATTTTTCTGTTTGTTGGTTTGTGTTTGATAAAGGTAGACGTGTTAAATACATTAGGAAGTGTTAAACATGTTTGTCTTGTGAAGTAAATGTAAATTCTACGAGTCAATGGGAAAGTCTATATGAATGCTCACTGTGTTTTAAAGTTATACGGAAACGAGGTAGAGGGAGGGAGGGAGGGTGAGGCAGACTGGAGGAGGTTTTTGCGTTATATAAGAGTGACCAAAGCAGAGGAGAGAAAAAAAAGATTTATCAAACAAGAAGTATTCAAGCAGTTACATTTTAAGTAGCACTTATTATTGAACTTCTAGTACTTCTTATTTTATTTCGAAGATATCTTTTGTAAAGGTCCAGACTTTGGATCCCATGTATATTGCTGTGAGGATTTACTGGTCACTTTAAAATAGAAAAATGAGACAAAAAAAAGTTTAATCTCCGTGTGAAAGTAAATCTACCAGAGCCTGACGGAATTGCACTACCCTCATACTGGTTAATAAAGTCTATTTTGTATAAAATACATGCAAATATTATCTTTAAAGATTAAGGGCAGATCATGATTCACTGGTACATATGGCTATGGCTTTCATTGAAGTCTGTTTTGTTCGTATTTCAGTTATGTAAATGTAATCCAATGTAAAAACAAACAAAAAATATAAAATGTTTGTTTAAAAAAACAATAGTTTGTTTTACTTCTGTATTACACCTCTTCTGTAGTCAGTGTCAATATTTTCACCTATTTGATTAAATGTTGAATTAAGTTATCTGTGTTGTTCTTTGACATTGGATTTGCCATTGTGTTGGGAAACTGCTTGGATGATGTTTTTGTCATCACAGGTTGAGAGTGCGAGTCGGAAAAACTGATTTCTCTTTAGTTCAAACATCTTACACAATAAAGTTCCCAGTTTTTCAAAGCTCAGCGCCACTTTTTTTCTTTCTTCAAGATATTGAGAATGACTTGGAAATGTTGGTAAGAATGCAAACTGGAGTGTAAAAACTGATCATCTAAAGAATACTTTGACATATGGGATATGTACACTTATTGACCTGCTAAGCATTAGTTTATGTAGAATTACATAAAGAGTAAGTGTCATAAAAAAGGCAATAAAAAATGTATGCAATAAAGTCTTAGTATAGTATTGTATCTCATAAAAAAGTGTAACTATTATGCCATAAAAAAGTCATGCTGTAGTATCGTATATTGTAAAAAAAAAAAATCATAAATATACTAAAGTATCTCCTTAAAGTTCATAGTATTTTATAGAGTAAAAATCTGTCGAATAATATCAAAATAAATCATAAAGATAAAGAAAGTTGTGGTATACTACATCGTAAATATAAAATAAGTCATACAGTAGTATAGTATGTTGAAGAAAATCCTTGAAAGTTGAAAATATCATGAAAAAAGTCATAGTATAGTATTTTGAAAAGTTCATTAAAAAGTCTGGTCATCTATGTCATATCAAATAATAGCATGTTATATCAAATAATAGTATGGTATGTCAAAAAATCTGAAGTCAGTAAATATGTCAAAAAGTCATTGTAAAGTATGTTGGGGAAAAAAGAAGAAATTCATCGTATAACATGTGGAAAATAGCATTCAAAAGGTCTTGTTAAAACATTTTACAAATGTCATATAGTCTATTTTCTTTTAAAAGCCATAGTATAGTAAATTGAAAATATCATGAAAAAGCTAATAGTGTTTTAAAATATTATTGATAATCAGTGTATACATATAGTATGTATTAAAAGAGTCATAATCTAGTATGTCAGAAAATAGACATACTGTAGTATAGTTTGCCATAAAACTGGAAAAAACACAATTGCCTGAACACCTTTTGAGTGTTGAACAGAATGATAAATGTACTTTGTACTTGGAGTCATAATCAAATAATTGCTTTATTTTGGTTCAAAAGTTCACTGTTGTAGATCCTGGTCTGACTTCTTTAACGCTGGGTACAAATTCAGGCATATTCTCCAAAAGAAACATCAAAGACGACGGCTGCAGCTGCTGAACATTTATCTTTTATTCTGCACAACTGGTCAATTCACCAAAACATCTGGAGGAATATTTAAGGCTGTAGATAGACTTAAATGATACACACATCTGGGCAACAAAGATGGAATAAAGGAATTAAGTTAGTATGCTAAGAATACAAAATATAAAATGTCATACTTAAAAAATGATACCTTATCAAATGCTGTGTATTTAAAACACCTCAAAATGAATACAGTTCAGGATTGAGCCTTTAAGAAACTCTCATAAATAGGAAGTTCAGATATGAACAAAGTAGTCTCATTTCACATTTAAGTTGCTTTTTTACTCTCCCATTTGATTTCCCTGTTACAATGAATAAATGTTCTTTAATATTGTTCTAAAATAACAAAGACAAAGGTTATTGAAAAATGTTCACCAAGTGGTTCAAGGAAAAGTTTAGCTTTGACTCAAAAATGTGTTAATTCATAGGAGCCCCAAAGTAGACCAGCTTGCAATCTAAGCAGTAAAGGAAAAAGTATTGTATTTATTTATTGTCAAATGTGTGAGCTTTTATGAATACCACATCTGTATTTAATTTACTATTAAATTACAATCTTTAAACTCCACTTCCAAATGTGAATGTCCATCCTCAGATAATCACAGTTTTAGCATCATCGTTATAGTTCTACATAAAAACCATATCCATGTGGTGGGTCACGACGCTCACAACTTATTTAGACTGAAATTACTTTAGTTGTTTGCTCATAATAATAGTTGTTGAAGGAGAATAAGATGCAGGCTTATAATAAATAAATAAGATGAATTGTAAATAAAGTTTTATAAAATGGGATACAGGTTGGTACACGGGTGCTCTGTGAAGTGAAAAATGCTCTGTGAATTAAAATAATTAAATGAACTTAATACTACGTACTGGATCCATTTAGTTAAAATAATCTAAAAATACCAAAGCTGTGGAAGCGGAGCCAGGCTTCGCAGCTGGGCTTGTTTAAACCAGCAGCACTCCGTTGTTACTCCTACGCTGCATGGTAAACCTATGATTTGCGTGTGGAGCTTGTTTGGAATTTTTCAATTTTCTTCTGAGGGCTCTGCATTTGGAATAAGGATGACCTTTTAGCGAACTGTTTCTGCGGCGACCTCGTTCTGTGTTGATCTACCCTGGGGCTCCTGTCGCTGAACCGGAGCTCTGAAACATAAGCCAGGATGAGTCTTGTCCTGGAGAATTACCAGACCGCCACAGCAAGTGCTTACAAACACATTTACAGCCGTACAACCAAAACCCCATCATTAAAACCTTCTTTAAAAGCTTCGGTCCCCCAATGGAATTAGCAATCATTTAAACAGTGAGGAATTTAACTAGCAAGTCCAAATGTATAAGCCGATTGCTTTTTAAAAAAAATTGTTCCCTGTCATCATCTCCATCATCTCCACAGGCAGATTTGTCCATTTCTGGCTGATAGAAAAGAGGACATTCTGGAGCAATGGCAGTGCAGTTCAAAGTAATAAAGCAAGGGCCGTATAGCTCCAAAATATCACCTAATTTATACATGTATCACTCTCTCTCAGCCCCCCCACCCCCATGCCACACACACACTTTCTCTTGCACACATTCCAGGTTCATTACCACATCATCTTCACCAGGACTTGGGAAGTCTTCTTCACTAATCCAATAACAGCCGGAACCACAGTGGGACTAATCTTTCTTTTCTTTTTTTTTCAGTGCAATTCATGGGTCTCTCCTTTCGGTCCGGCTTCAATCAGTGGTCCAGTTTGAATTCCCAGTCTAGTCAAGACAAGAGAGGCCTCATCAACAATGGTCCCGTTCAGATTAACAAATGATCTAATAGAGTCTGTCCAGTCGTGTGCAGTCAAATCTAGTCCAATTTGTTTAATTCCAGTCCTTGTTTGTCCAGTTCAAGTGTTTTTCTGGGCCATGGACTATAAAAACTCAACATAGTTTTCTGGTATCAATCCTGTCCGGCCGTCCAGTGTCCCTTCCAGCCAGCCGGGCTCCCTGGAGCCATGCACTGGAGAGAGAGAAAGAAACATTGATATCATTAAAACAGCTCAAGATAAATAGGACAATATTTCATATGTGGCACATAAACATGTGGATGCACAGATGTGCAGATAGTGTGAGAGAGGGGAGGAATGGCAGTTCAAAGACGCCAATAACTAAGAGCAGGGCAGTCAACAATTGCACATGTTCCTCATTATGCGAATGTTTCATATCTAAATATTTTGTGCGGACATCTCTGGCAGCAACATCACACAGAAATAACATGAAATATATCATTGGATGAGCAAATCAATACAGGGAAATCAACTGTACAGTAGATGATGGTGAGAACTAGCTAAGTATTGAATGAAAGGGCAAAGCTTGGCTTGTATGAACTACAATAACACCCGATAATGAGGAAGCAACATAGATAAACTAGGTGGTTTTTTTTGTGGAATATACATTGAAATGTTCTGAAAAAGATCAAAACAAAAGAAAGATCTCTAGCTAGGTAGTGCTAAAACACAGGAAGTGATATAACCATCGCTGCAGAAGTAACCACCACATTTGTCCTCAAAGGGAAACTCACAAAGCTGCAGAAAACCTCAAAGAAAGACACCAAACGTGACATGTGTCTGTGCACACAGCTTTGATCTGTTCTGGATTATTATGGATCTGTCAGATTGCAATAAATATTGACCAAATAAGTCTTCCTTCAGCTGCATAAAAAAGGTGCTAATATTCTGTAAAACAACTAGGATAAACACATTTTATACATCTTATTGTAACAGTATTCTTATGAATGCTAAAAGGGGCTTATGAGGCTGCTGTTGGAGATCCGTGTGGACAGCCGTCCTTGGATAGCCATGACCGGACCGGAGGGTTGAGATGCCTCTCGGGGACAACATGTCCCCAAGGTCACATCTTGACCCAAATGGCTCCGATGACACTGCATTGCATTACAATAACCCTCAATAGCCTTGACGCAGCGCACTCTATTTAGGGAGCTGAGAGAGCATATATCAAATGGACAGACTAAAAAAGGGAATTTCTACCATTCCCGAGTATGTGTCTGTTTCCCTACAGATTTTGCCTGCAAGACAACAGACCATGGTAAAGTTCCAACATTTATGTTTACGACACCAAGTGAACCAGCATAAAACAATCAATCCAACATTATAAATCAATCACATTTTATTTATTTAGCTCAATATATCAAATAATAAATTGGTTTCAGGGGGTTTCACAGCTTGAAAAACGCCACCCTCTGTCTTTAGACCCTTGCAGCGCACAAGAAAAATCCACGGGAAGAAAGGAAGAACCCCTAGGGAGAGACACAGAGGAGGGGTCCCTCTTCCAGGACAGACAGAAATCAAAAATATATTTTTTGTACGGATAAGAAATTACAACATACTGTAAGTACCGCATTAGTAGTTTTATTATTCCTACATTTGCACAGAACTAGACTTCATCAGGTTATTCAGTCCAAAGAAAACTGTGAGGAGATAAATGTGATTTATAGTTTGGAGGGGCTGAAACTTGGCTAGAGAGGGGCTTGGGAATGTCTGTATTTAGTTGCCTATGCAGAGGGGAAAGGGAAGAAAAAGGAAAGGAAGCATATGGAAAAGGAAGCCTATGGAAAATAGAAATAATATTTTCAAAACGTTTTTGTTTCCTTTGTGTGTGTGTGTGTTTGCAGGTGTGTTTCATAAACATATTTTCTTGCAAAAAAACTAAGCAAATGACTAATTATACCTTAACAATTGAAGTGCTTGGCTGCAAGCAAAAGCAATTGCATTACTCATAAGACTGCTTGCCAGACCCTAATATTCTCTGGAGAAGTGAACAATCAGAGCAACTGCACATCCAAGCTCATTTTAAAACCAGGTGTTGGATGAAAATACACTGCAAACAGTCACATGTATTACACCCTATGGATTCAGCTCCCAGTAATTATCAAGTTATCGACTAAAAAGCTTCTTTGTTCCGTGCATCTTCTTCTTTCCTCCAACATAACAACCACACTTAACTACAGGAAAAACTATTAGAGAGCAATTCAAAAGATTGCAGTCAGGGGATTATGGTGCAGGCAAATTCCCTTTACTACTTTAAACACAGCTTCAACCCCCTGACCAGTTGTTTTGACAGCATGTATTTTGTATCTTTGCCAACCCCAGCACACATTTTGTCCTTTCTGCTCACAAGTACAGAGCTTTACTCACCGTTGTCGAAGATGGTCCCAGCGATGAAGGACAGCTCAGAGTTATGCTCTGCCTTGCAGGCATACAGCGCTCGAGCCTTCCTGCCGGTTATACTGGAGACATCAGAGTCAGAGAGTGAGACATTAAGTGATTGAGTGGGAAAAACAAACAGCTTTCAGTTTGAAAAAAAAGCCTACTTTAGACCCTCAAACCACACAGCAGATTACTTTTTACAAACTGTTTGGTAGGTACTAAATGGCTATTTCACATTTTTAACAATGAGTCAGACTTGAAGGAAGTGTTCTCTTTTACAGTATATTCCTGTAGCTTTATCAGGAATCAGGGTCTTACCACACATTAAGATAACTTCCACTGGGTTGTGGTTAGGTTTGTATTGGAACTGGAAACACAGTTTCTACTGTGGCTGTATGGCTATACTGATCCAACGAGGAGTCAGCTTTTCAATTCCCTCTTTTCATTTGAGAAGTTCAGAGGTCATGGTCCACTATATGATGAGGAAAGCTAAAAGCTTGTAGGAAGTCTTGTTCAAGGACGCTGCTGCAGCAAAGAGGCTCGCGTCAATAAGCGCTTGCATCAACCCTTGTGTTATGTTCACATTTCGTACCCTTTGGTAATGTTCGGGTCAAATTGACCCGGGACGTATTTCAGGGTTTAAAAAAAATACAGAACTAAATTCAACATGCACAATTCCTTATATATATTGTCTTTAACTCATTCCCCAACAATATAAATTAAATATTAGTTTTTGAAAATACTCTTTGCTAGATCAAATTTAACAATGGAAGTGTCCATTGTTTTTTGTGATAGAAAATGTAATTTATGTTAAAAAAAATACACTAATAAAAACTGGGTTTACATTTTGCTCATGCTTTTCTAGGACAAATGTAAATTAAACATTTTTTCATTAATGTTTATTATTTTTAATGTGGCTGTGGGGGTCCTTCAGCGGCTGGCTGTGGGGGTCTTCCAGCAGCTGGCTCTGAGTCAAGTTCATCTTCCAATTCGCTGTCAAATTCTGAGTTTACCTCCACATTATCCTCATCTTCAGAAATGTCTTCCTGTTCCACTTCACCGTGTTCTTCTAATGCATTCCACTCACTCTCATCCATTATTAGCTCCAAGGCTTTCTGAGCAGAATATCTTTTGGCCATTTTGCTGGTAGATAATTGTAGTTCTGCACTATACACTGTAATGTGAGGTTATGTTTCTGTTTAGTCCCTCCTCCGGCATGCAGGTGCGAGGGGGACAGTGCGAGAAAATGTAAAATGTTTATACATTTCTGGAAGATCTAAAATGTTTATAATGATCTAGGATCGTTTTGTGTACACACTACAAAGGGTAAAGATCAAGGGAAAACAGGATCAAACAGCTTCTCTATGCATACAATTGTGTGTGTGTGTGTGTGTGTGTGTGTGTGTGTGTGTGTGTGTGTGTGTGTGTGTGTGTGTGTGTGTGTGTGTGTGTGTGTGTGTGTGTGTGTGTGTGTGTGTGTGTGTGTGTGTGTGTGTGTGTGTGTGTGTGTGTGTGTGCGTGTGTGTGCGTTTCTGTGTGTTTTTCTCTGTCTGTCCTGGTATTGTATCCGGGTCAGATTGACCTGAACCTCTTATGAAGGACATAAATGCGGGTGGGCATTTTTTCATAAGTGGAAAAAAATTAAAACAATTCCACATGTCCTTCACAATAAATAATTGAGTTTCAGGTTGAACGAAAATATCCTTATATTTTTTTGTATTCATTGAAAATGGAAATCGGGTCAATTTCACCCGAACACCACACAAGGGTTAAAGAGTTTGTTTCTAGAATCTGTAAACTGGAACATTTTCCCCAGGGATGATGAATATAAAACACTTTCTTCAGTAAAAAATACCATATAAGCAAATTCTCACGCAAGTGCAAGTGGAAGGTGTTTTAAGAAATGTTTCCCTTTCCTTTCTTATATATTGCAACCACTCACAAACCTTTGCTGCTGGGAAATATTTCCGTTGATTCGTGAAAAGCGTTGATTAAACCGTTCCACAAATAATGGGGACCAACCTGACGGGGGAGGAGTCGCTGGAGGCGGAGGACGGCGGCTGCGGACTCGATGGGGCGGAGAACATGGGCCAGGAGGGTGAGCGGGGGGAGGTGGGGCTGGGGGACATCGCACTGATGGACACATACACACAAAACATGATATTTAGAGCATTGAAAATATTATACTGACTACTAAAATCAGCTTTGACCAAAATGTCTTAGATGAAAGAGGTCTTTTCCTTACCTGGTTGGTATGCTGCCACGACTCTTTGGGTTCAACCTGGAAACACATGAAAAGACAAAGATGAAGTAATATATCTAAATGAATGAGCCATAAAGTTCATTACTAAATGTTTCTGACATTGTAAAAACAAAGGAAAGCTATTTTCACTAACTAGATATTCATTTGGACATCATGTTTCAAGATATGTTATGTGACTGAGGGGTTTGACCTTCTTACTTTTCTCTCTTTAGTCTACCCGTATTAGCTTTCCAGCACCCAAGGAAGGAATGACAAGTCAGCAGAGAGGACCTCCCACATAGTTTGGTTAGAACGAAACCCAAATAATTTAGCTGCAAGGAGAAACTGACTCCTTAATAGCTCTCAATGGGTGATGTGAGCAGCCTAATGTGCTCCAGCCCTGACTGAAATAACAACTTTAAATGAAGGCTAATAACCATTATTAGGAAAAACAGTGCATTCCTTTGAGCTTCCAGAGCCGAAACAAAAGAAAAATTCACTGTACTGATCCCAACATGATTCTGTTACCTGGGCAATATATGAACTAATTGCTGCATTTCACAGTCTGTAATCACAGGGGACATGTTTCATCAAACCAACAGGACCAACATGGTCAAATAATATAAAGACTGGTTTAATGTATCTACTGTAATAACACAGAGTTTTAGTGGGACTCTTTCCAAGCTTAGGTAAGAGTGTCTCTACAGTTATTGAATTTAACACACACTCACACACACATTTTCTGTTTACTTATCAGGAATGACACGCAATGAACTTTCCATCACATGCTGAAGGTGAAATACTGAGAGGCTTCGTAAAAAAAAAAGAAGCAAAGGAAATGACTATGCAGGAAGAGGGTCATCTTGATTGTTTCATTTGTTTGTTATTACACAGCTTACTTAGAAAAATCAGTCATAAAGAAGAGCACCAGAGCGATAAAGGAACAGTACACCCACACCTCATCGACACTGCCTCACCACCACTGACTACACAGGTTTCACAAATCCACAGGTTGTTTTTTTGTTGCACCAAATACATACAGTAGGTGGATCAGGGCATTAGTGTTTTTTGTATCAATCACTCTGAACATCAGGGCCCTTTTTGATAGCATGGATTTCTTTTTTGAATGAAATGTGGTAGCCATAGTAACACTGCTCTAGCCTCAGGCAAGATTTGCGATAATCATGGTCGGTTTGTCTTTGGGAACGTTTTTTTTTTTTTAAACATGCTGATGCCAACAATGCACTCTAAAAGATAAATATTGGCTATAACTCTGCAGTGGAATCATGTGTTGTGAAGTGAAACAGACAGAGTGATGGATTTGAGATGGAAAGTTCATTCATGACCTTCGAAACAGCAGTTGTCAAAAGTATTTCAACACATTGTTCCATCAGCGGCTGTTTTGGAGCTTCTCAACGTTTCACACAGATACTAGAAGTTTACACTTATTCTTGTACATGGTTGAACACTGTCAAAATTATAAACTGACTATCTAAATTGAATCTGTTGGTGTGACATCTCATCATTTATACTGTTTCAAGTCAGATGGAACTCTGACTGGTGTCTGAAATGGATGGTAACTAGGTAAATATGACTAGATATTTCAGCCAATAATACATAGTCAATACATTTTAGCAATGTAGCTTGAGCTTGTAGCTCTTTTCAAGTGTTGAATTTCATTTTAATGACATTTGCTTTGTATTTTAGACTAACAAAAACAATAAAAGACTGTGCCGTCTTCCTTATTTAAATGTTAAACTGTCAGTTTGAGTGGCTGTCTTAAAGATTCATGTTCTCTCTCCATTTGTCACTCACTGCTCGTTTGTCAGAGTTCTCTCTGTCATCTGCTTCCTCTGTTGCAATTTCTTTACTTTCCATTTATCTCCCTCTAACCCATTCTTATTCTCTTTCTCCCTTTAGCGGAGCTGTTCAAAGAGACAAGGAGGGATGATTTCTAGCTGACAATCTACTATACTTTGATTGATTTTATAAATCAATTATGTATTCTTGAATGAAGTTCCCTCTGTTCTCAGGTAAGGCGCACATATATCTGCAGGCAAGGCAAAAGAGAGAGTGAATCAACTTGTTTGAAGTGATTACAGTCTGGCTGTGATATTCACAGCACATATGGCAGCTCATTTAATTCAACCAATCTCCTATCTCTCTACACATACACTCCTTGCCAACAGGCCATTTATTCACTGTGCTACAACACGACATACACTCCCTGCAAAAAACAACATGCAAAGTGTACACAAAGAAACTACGAAATATGCCGAAATGTATGCATGCATGTATCTAAAATGAAGACAATGTAGGCAATGAGGACCATTCTTGCAATCTTAACACTTAAAACAACTACCTCCATTTAGAGAAAAACAATGTTTGCCACCAATATGACACCAAGAGTTTCATTTTTGATGACATAAATATAGTTTAAAAAGTTATATAAGTTGCCGCACTGCGACAACGGCATGCGATTCTTCTTAAAGTCCTCAACTAGGCCAGTTCTCCTGTTGATCGTAACTCTTTTTAGAGTGACACATGACATGTCTTTTTAAGGTCACAAACATTTAAGGTTTACAACCTTGGGAAGATCACTTTACAAAGGAATGTGTCATCTACTGTGCAAAGGCCATTCAAGAAATACATCTGCATAACTAGCATGACCCCCACATATCAAGTTTTGACAATGGTGCAAATAGCTCTGAAATATTTTAATAGTGAGCATCGTGACTTTTAGTTTCTACTGTTGTCACAGAGGCACCATTGAGCCCCCATATCACATCAATATTTACACAGTGAAAGCGATGAGCTGTATATTCTAGCAATACCGATGACAGGAAAGAGGTTGGACAAGTTAGGTTGGTTAACAGACACGCTGCTGCTTTCATATGGGCGTGCTGAAGGTTCATCTGTAGTATCATAAATACTTATGGAGTTCAAGCCATTATGAAGCACTGACACCGTCTCATCTGTGCAGCTGAACACTATTACTTTAAATGCCCAAAATAAATAACCACCATTTTCTTTGGGCTTTTATTCCTACTATTCCCTGCTTCACAGTTACTGCAAACTCTAATTCAAATGTCTTGCATGTTTGCACATACCTAAAACTCTACATTAAACACAGTGGATTCTGATTCGGAAATCTTCCTAAATGTTTAATGTCACCACAGGCAAAGTTTCATCATAACATAAATAGACACATGTTTATACTCACCACTCTGCAGCTGTGAGTTGTTCTTCTTTAACCAAAATACAGTTTTTTATTTACCTATTAATTCAAGTTATTCTTAATTGTCCTGATCAATGAAAGCAACTCAAAAGCCTATTTGCATATGTATCATACTAAAGCTTTTAATATTACATATTTACTGTAAAATGTTGAATGTCCTAAACGGAAGCTTCGGTAATTAGGAACAAATAAAAAGTGGAGAATTTGTAATCAATGAGTGGCAAAAGCAGCTGTTTTATACTCATCAGTTGAAATAATTAGGCTTGCTATTTAATTAATCTGCTTATTCGTTATCATTTAGAGGTTGAAATGGCATCGTTATCCTCATTCAAACAGATCAAGTTGTGAAATAGCCAGACTTGTGAGTGTGCAGCTTGTGATGATTGTTTGTGGTACAGGGCATCATAACCGATACATTATATTTACAGCGATGCAGACGAGAGGATAAGCTGCTGAAGAAGGCAGAGATCAGAAAATGTCGACCAACAACTTTCTCTGATCTTAATGTCTCAGGCAAAATCAAACATATCCAGTGTTATCAGGGTTGCAGCTTTAACATCTCTTTTAGACTTGAGTTGACTCCTGTCTGAGTGACTTCCAGTACTCACTGTCATATCTAAAGATCTAAGAGTGTGAGAGAGGGATGTGTTATGTCTGTGCTGTGTGGCATGAAAAGAAAAAGGGAAACATATTATGCAAATGTGTTAAAATATGATCAAGCAGGTCATTAGCTCAAGCAGTAGTGACTGGCACTGCATATGACTGCATGTATGTGCGTTTTTATAGCTATCTATATCTATTGTGATGATTTCATGATTTTTTTCCCCCCAATAGACGGTACAGTAGAGTTCCCTTTTTTTGTATCATTAGTTATTTAGATTTGTATCACTTCTCGTTGGATTTTTCTCTCAAATGTCAAACAAAACAGGAGGAAAAGATTAAAATTCACAGTGTTTCCCCGTGAAAAGCAGGGAAGACGGTAAGAGACTTGTTTGACATTTATGCGTTTACCTTAGTACATCAGATCGAAGGTCAGGAACATGGTTTCACTCGTGATATTTATCATATTATTCACAGTGCATGATGGACTCAGAGGTCAGTCAGTAAACTTCTACTCACTCATCCTTCTGTAGCTCACTAGCCTCTTCTCCAATTTGGACTTTTTGTCCAAGTTGTCGTTTTTTTATTAACTTTCTTCCTGCATTACTACAAAGAGTCATGTGGATGTGATTTGCATGTGAGATACCTTAAAGAGACATTTTGAAAGAGGTGTGAGTCCTCCAGGAATTTTCCAGCCAAAACAGTTAAAGAACATGACAAGAAAACGCTGACCCGTAATCCAGGTGTCAAAACAAAAAAAAGTGCATCTGTCTCAGGGGAATGTGGGGCTCCTTCACTTCCTTGTTAACCTCCGCCCTCTGTACCTCTCTCTTGTCTGTGATGAGGGTACAGGCTTGTTTTCTTGGAAACCTGTTACGTCTGGTTCTTGGAGATTGAGAAAACATGGTAGGGCTCGGATTTGACTTACCCATACCGTAACTCTGTCTGCTGATTGTTGATTTTTTTTTACAAATTATTCTGTAAATGGGCTTAGATAAATCAGATCTTGATTATCTTTTAGCAAATTTAAGAAGATTGTTTGAAAGTGGAGTATTGATCCTTTCCCAATACACAACTGTTGTTGCAGGGATTGTAAATGAATTGCAAGCAATTAGAGTATTTTTACTTCTATGAAAATGTCTTGAAAATATATATAATGAAAATAAATAAACATTGGAGCATCATAGGCTGATATATCTTGACTTTGAAGCTCAAAAAACTAAAGATAAGGCCCCACCCATAATGCATGACCTTAGTTTGCCTTTCACTTGACTTCATACATTGTCCAGAAACAAAGGCTCTTTATCCTAATCAGAATATATTTAGAAAATCCATACCTTGCACTCGACCAAATATTATGATTATTTATGAATGGTATGTGGCCATTTCCATCTCATTTCCACTGCTAAACAAAAGAACCATGGTTGCTGTCAAACTGACTGATCTGCTAGGGCCTAGTGTGCGTGTGTGTTAGCATGTCTTCAAAGCATTTCAAAACATGAGGTTAAACCTGTTTCTAATAATCTGTCGTCATCTCCTCTTCACCTGCGAGTACATTTAGATCAGATAAAGCTTTTGTTTGCCCCCTTTAACCAATTTTCTTCATTTAAAATAGATTTAAAGGTTAAATTATAGGAAGTTCCATGATGTACAGCAGTTAAACCACATAATAACCATTATGTATAACAAAATATTAGTTGGAACCATTTTCATCTAATTTGCTAATAAGATTTAGGACACTTGAGGGCAAGAGTTTGGCCTATTACTGGACAATGACCAACATTATAACTTTATTAACTTCCCAGGGCAATTTATTAGTCTTTGTACTACGCAGAGATCAAAATTATTATTATGGATTTTTCAACATCTCACGACTTACAAAGATGACGCACATCATGAAGCACTGTTGCTCTAAAAGGAAAACGTGGCACAATCTACCCAAATCTAATTTGGCAGCTACTCCTACTCCTCAAACTGGGTTATCACTGACTTCTTTAAAAGATTTAGAGAAAAGCTTTCTCTATTCTGTAGTGTGTGGTGTTATCATTGTGGTTTGTTGTTGACAGCCTGAAATCACCCAACAGCTCTATCTTTAAATCTAAAATGAGATCCTCAGCTCTGTCTCTTCACACCGAGCTGATTTATTTTTGACCACTTTTTTTTCTAAATTCACTCATGTAAAAATATAGCCAAGATCCATTAGCAGGAAAAGAAGGCTTTCCATCTGAGAAATTGTATGAAGTTAACGATAAATTGGAGGGAGCAAAATAAATGAAGGTAAATCTGTTTTGCCTCTATCACACATACATACAATTTATATATAATAGAGCCACAACATAAATAACACTGGACGGCACTCTCAATAAAAGCATCTCCTAAAGTGGAAAAAAAAGCAGAGCTTAACGATAGAAGCTTGTGAACATATCATTCCCTGGATCATAAGGTGCCCAACTCATAATGGAAAGTCTTTCTGAAAAATGATTTCCTGTCTCCAGTTGCTTTTGATGCTCTTATATATCTCTTTCAGTTAAATATGACATAATGTTCATCAGTGCTTTATCTGTTGCAACACTGTTAGGTGAAAACTGATTTTGATTCAAGTAATGCAACACAGATGACTGTGTCCTTACCTATTAGTACAACAAAACACCTCATTAAGTGGATATATACCTGGCATTTAAAGTGTTTCCTTTTTCTCCATCTAGTTCAAACTGCAATCTAATCACCATCTAATAACCATCTAATAAGCTGCTTATTAAGGGGTTTATAGGAACATTTCACTAAATGTTGTAATTAGTGATATTACAGAGAATGAAATATAACAGATCACGGCTATTAAGTCGTTTATACTATTTAAGGACTAAGGTCACGCGATTAAAATGTTGTTCAGACTAAACTGTGTAACTTGTTTGTTCTGTATATTTATTCTTGGCTTTTGCAATTAGGGCTGATCTGCAGCAAAATGAAGCCCAAGACAATTTTGCCTAGAGGAAAAATATAATAAAAATAGTGTAACTGTTAACTGCAGGTTTTACTACTCAGTGTTCAGTCTGATATACACATGGTAAAACATATAGAAGGTATAGATGCAATATTATCTACAAAATATTCAATTATCGTTTTTGTTGTGTTATTCTAGGATGATCAAAACAAAATCCACACATTAGATATGCAACTTTCACTGAGGGAATTACTTGAATGGGTTAGGTTGTAGGTATAAGTGTGGTTGATGTTCAAACAGATATAACAGTGGCAGAGAATGTACATCTAGAGGTGAGCATTTAAACACAAGCTGGATGCAACAAACAAGCTCTAACAGTGGCAAAGGAAAGAATATAGGAGAGTGAAAGTAGCAGCAGAGACACAGAGGAAGAGAGGTAATCAGTGTTGATGAGCATCGTCATGGTTGCAGGCTGTACTTGGGAATCTGTCGGTAAATAAGATGATTGGTAGTGTATGTATCTTCTCTTGATCTCACAAAGTGTCAACACCAAAGATCCCATGATGTCTTTTGTTTGTCCTCACGTTGCATTGAATTCCATATGCAGGGGTGTGTTACCCCTGCTAATAATAAACTAATAAAAGCATGTGTGTGTCCAGTGTTTACGTAATGGAGGTGCTTGTTCTGACAGTCAAAATATTTTTGTTTAAGTTGGTCTTTGGTTTCAGTCATGTAAACGGTGGGCCAGACACAGTGTGTAAGATAGATCCAAGACATACATGCCAGGTACTTTATCCTATTTCAAACTTATTTGAGTAGATTATGTATGCGCGATATGATTCAGGTATGTGCGTGCATGTAAATGGAATTTCATGTACTTGTTTTTATTTCAGATTCCCTTAATTCAGGGGAAGTAGACACAGCCTCTATTGTTGGGGCAGTTCAGTTCCTTTCTAGGAATGTTTCCCAGATACTTTTGGGATTTACACCGACAACCTGCCAGTCACAAGTCTGCTTTGCTAATGTAAGCTCAATATGCTAACATGTGTATATGTGCTCATGCATTCCTGTGAATTTTCCTTCCTCATTCCTTGAACCCTTGTGACTGTATTTGTACCTGCCTCTCTCTCTCTCTATATATAAATGGGTCCAAACTCTCTGCCAACCCTACTCACAAACATCTGTGAAGCTGTAAAGCTTTTAGCTATTTTTTGTTTTGTATTTTATTTATGGTGATTTCTCTTTATGTTCTTTCTTAATGGGTTATTTTCTTTTCATCCTTCTTCGATTGTTGATGCAAAGCAACTTGAGCTTCATTCTATTAGAAAAAACTAAACTGGACAAATCTGTTGGGTTTTTACAAGATCCCAAAAGATTTAAAGCAGATGTTGTGGACCGAAACATCCCAAAGCATTTCCTCCAACAATTACACACACTTTCACCACAGCTTACAGAAAACAAGGACAGAAAATGTTTCTGGCAGTAGAAAATGAAGTGTAAATGGTAAACACATACAAAGCTGCTGATGTGTCATTAATTACCCATAAATTGTTAAAATACACAGAATGGGCAGATTTGGCCCCCATGAGGTGAAATATGTGAGGTAGGTTGTGCGGGTGTAATTGCATGTACACTTGGATATAGGTGTGCAATTGCAGTTGTGCTTACTACCCTAAACATCTCATTCACAATGATGAATTTACTAATAATGACTCACAGTGAGCTGGGTCTGATCTGCCGGGCGTCCTGCTCCCCGTCGTTGCTGGTCAGGCTGTGTCTCGGGGTGCGGCCCTGGCTGCTGCTGCTGCTGCTGCTGCTGCTGTTACAGTTCACCGTGGAGGATATCGGCTGCTGCAGCTCGGCGACTGTGGCATTGGCAATACTGTTCTTCTTTTCACCTACAAGAACACAGAAAGGTTCACAAAGTCCGTGGTGTTTTTATTCAAAACATGTTGCCCATTTTTCCGCAAGTAGCAACTTTATACTGGCGTGGCTACTTCATACAACTGTTAACCTCCCTCTGATTATACAGGCTAACTGATTCCAAGCCAATCGGTTTTCTCTTAGTCTCGTACATAACCAAACATATTGTGAGCTAACTCAAAGAAAACCACTAAGGGGAGGAAAACCGTTCGTATATTTATTTAATTATTTATAATTAGGCATATTATGTGGTCCAGCTCACCTTTAACAGAATGTGTTGGTGTGTGGAAGAGTGTGAGCGGCCTCTCGCTGCAGGACGGGGCTTTGCTCTCCGTGCTTCTCCTCCTGGACAGGTTGAGCTGCATGTTTGTCGGACCGCTTGCAGGAGTCGGCACGTCCCTGAATATCTGCATTAACAACACAGGCAGTTGTAAGTACAAAGAAATAAACTACAATAAAAAATGCCACTGAAAAGTACTACACCATGTTCTTGCTGCTGCGATCAAGCAATTTATGGTCCCATATGCAACTGCAGATACATGTGGCTTATTTGACCGGATTAAAGGCAGATGCATTAATCACAAGGTTATTAAAAGTGTAATCACGTGAATATCCATGCTAACTATTTTCAAGCTTGTGAAATGATGGAATATATGAACAAAAAAAAGCATCATTGCACAATATAAGGTTCTGCTAAACCACCAGTGGTACTATGACTCATTTTACTCTAGAACTGGAAGCTGGAACAATAGTATCTAATATTAATTCCTGGATTCATGCCAATGGAAACTTTGCAGCTTAGACTCCACATAAAACATAGCAATAAGACTGTGTGTTGCTGTGTAACATTTTTTTATTTTCCCAATAATCACATATGCAGAATCGACAGATTGCAATTTGTGGAATTTATTTTGACTCTGCAGATTTATCTAGATTTCTATATCTACATGTCTTGCTACTAAATATGGCTGTTGGTGTTATTTTTTCTAATTATCCCAATGCGCATTCATCCGTCATCGCTTTATCAGCAAGGTTGACACCCATAACTTCACTTTAGATGGCAAAAAGAGGAACAAAAAGGATTAGATAGCTCTGGAACCCATTTCAACTTCCTGGATCTGATGTTTTGATTTGGATCTCATAAAACGTACAAATGTTTGAGTACAGTACATGAGCATTTCGCAAAGCTCCAGTAAATCGTTTCAATACTGTCAACACCAAAATGAAATCTTCAGGCTCAGCAAGCAAAACAGACAAAATGTCGGAAAAAATGATCTTATCATTCTTTTGTGGAGAGAGGGCAGAAATGTGAGGTGCAGACTGTCAAAATTCAGATTGTTCTGCAGGTGTACAATAGGAGACAGTGACACGTGATGACATTTTTTGAAAGATTCAGACCTGCTCCATCACATCTTGTACTACACTAGATAGAGCTGCTGTCTGTAAGGTCTGAATGATGGACAGTGCTGTCTCTGTGTGTGTGTTATTGTTGCAACACACACTTATCCGGCATGTGTGTATATTCAGGCATTTAAAAGGGTGTGGGATATGTGTTATTTGTCTGTGTGTCTGTAATCATTTTTGTGTAAAATGCGAGGGTCTGAAACCGTCATGTTGAATTTTCTGTTTCCATGGTGACATTTGTACGCAGCTTGTCCTGCCAATAAGCTGGATCTCATAATAACTGGATTTTAAGTATATACAGTTATTGCGTATACTTAGCAGGTGTCGGGTGTTTTCAATTATAAATAGTTGGGTGCATAGCGTGTTGTTTGAATTCACAATTACATACAAGTCAATTCCCCTGACAAAGCATTAATGAATTAAAACTTAAATCACGTGCAGTTGCTTTTGCTTATGTTATTCATTGTATACACACTCAAATTCCATCTTACCTTCTCATGGTGCTCTATGAGGATCTCTACCACAATATTCTGGAACTTGATGTCCATGATGGCCGCCACCGTCTCCTCCTGTGGGCGAAGCAGAGTTGGCCCAAAAACCACGCCCAGATTGGCGATGGTCATCAGGTTCTGCTGGTGATGACTGGCCACACTGTTGAGGGGGGGTTAGAAGAGAGTAAGCGAGTAGCATTTACAAATATCACAACACCTTTATGGAACAATACAGTTCCACAGCACATCAAATATCTGCTCAAATGGCCATCAACTTTAATCAACACACTATCCAGAACATTGTTAAAGAAAACTGAAACGTACGTCAGAAAATTACGTTTACCTGCCCTTATACAAATTGTGTAAATGTTTTATCTTTATTTCAGTCAATGAATTTGGAGTTTCAACCACAACTTCCAACATCGCCAAACTAGACTCCTGTTTCCAGGATAATTGGAATAAACAACAATGCGTTTAATTGTATTTTTACCGTTTGCATGATTGGGCAAGTGAGTAGCTGGTTAACAGTACTAGCCCGAGGGGACGTTATAATTGGGGAAAATGGGAAATCCTTATTTTCTTAGCCCTGTATCAGAATGCATTATTTTTGTTGGACTGAGAGCTGAGGTGTGTTCACTCTGAATGAGCCATTCAACCTATAAGCCAGTGAAAATGATAATGACCACAGGCAGATGTGATGCACTAAGCCGTGGTCAAGATGTTTATGTAATCAGCATATCGCATTTGCGCTCGCCTACATGTTTTTAAACGTGGCTGATGTCACATTTGCTGCACATTATATGATGCTATGCTGTTGAGGAAAAGTCCCATATAGCCAGAGGGGTTAGATAGGGGTTAGGAGTTCAAATACAATGCCAGTCAGCTGCTTTAGAGGAATAATTACACATAATCCCACTGGGCATGCCTTGCTTTTTATCTTATGGGCTGCAACAGCTTGTGTATATGTAATCTACAGACAGAAATCCTGTCGAGTCACAAATGTGTTTCTTCATAGAGTTGAATTTTTTCTATGTGCAGCACTGTGGGTTTTGAAGTTCTGGGAGAAAAACCCAGAAAGAAAATAACTGATTTGTTAAACTTGTTAAACATCAGAGTGCTTTTCAGTATCAGGTCTGCTGAGATGTCCTCAAGCAAAACATTACATTTTAATCAGCTCAATTGGTTAGTATCATGTTATTTTCTCCAAGTAAGCACTGATTTGGTAGTTTGTCAAAAGACCTTTAAACTAGAGATGTCCCGATCCGATCACGTGATCGGGGATCGGAGCCGATCACGTGATTTTAAAAAGATCGGAATCGGGAGAAAAAAATCGGGGATCAGGATTTTTTTTTTTTTTTTTTTATAAAATATTTTTATTTTATTGAATGTTACAAAACAAAAATGACCATGTTCACATCTTAAAGTCATCCTGAGGCCTTAGTTTTGGTTTAAAATTACACAACATCATGTATGTGTTGCTTCTTTTGGGCTTGTTTTCATAGACCTGGTTGCTTATTTCTCTCAAATCTGGCAACAGAGTGGGCAGGGCGCAGTGTCTAATAGTAGCAGTAAGCTAACGAGAGGCTACGTTCAGTTGGTGCCTCGGGAGTCGGGACAGAGAAAATGTCAGGAGTTTGGAAGTACTATAAAATTGAAAGTGAAGGCAGTGTAACAGCCAGATGCAAAGTTTGCAAGGCGGAGGATCCGCGTGGTGGAAAGAACAGAGCTACGTTCAACACGACCAATCTAATACGCCACCTGAGAAACAAACACCAACAACGACACGACGAGTACACAGCGGCCATTCAGGTAACGGCACTGAAACAACCGACACTTTCAGAGACTTTTAAAAGGAAAGAGAAACTGCCCCAGAACAGTGTTTTCACTGTTACACATGGCCAAAAAAATAACAGCCAAGATAGCCGAGTTCATCGCGTTGGATGACCAGCCGTTATCGGTTACCTTTTTTTTCTCTTAATGCATTGCATAAAGATTGGATCGGGAAAAATCGGTATCGGCAGATTGTCAAAATCAAATGATCGGAATCGGATCGGGAGCAAAAAAAGGTGATCGGGACATCCCTACTTTAAACCCATACGATAAACTATGTAACATATATGTAAGTAACCCTGAAAGCATCATGGCTTTATTCCAGTGGGAAGTCATTTCATTCAAGTTCAACTAAAGTTGAATCAAGTTAATGTCTGACAGGTACACTTTTTCAACTGAATTTATACCCAGTTTGAACTTATTATTAAGGATACATATTTGAGATGCGAATTAAAGAAATAAGTGGACACTTCGTGGCTGTGAACATGGCAGCGTCTGTGCTTCCTGGAATCCTCAGAAGGACCTGCACCTGACCGTTTACCCTTTATTTACCTTCAAGGGATAAGTCGAGAAATAGCTCTGGCCTAATGGCTGCTTGAAGGAGTTTCTAATTTTAGAGGACACTGTCTTAATGTCTGTGGAGAAGGGATTACACAGAGCCCTAATCCTTGTCTTTCATGGAAAACAACAACAATCAAGACAGGAAGTATTACAGAGATGTAGAAAGAGAAGAGGGTATGAGAGAGACATGCTAACACTACATAGCAACTCCTCAAATGAAATCATGGTGAAACAAGGTCTCCACTATTTACAGCAAAGTGATTGACTGCAGTCCATGTGGGAAATCTCCACCTACTTGGACAGATGTTTCATCAGCAGCTCCAGCATCTGTCTGTTCTTCTCGGGCAGCCGATGTACCAGGGCATGGATCTCTGTAACCCGGGCCTCTTGGTTGTCCAACTCTGGAAAAAAAAAAACAGAGATAGAGACTTTTAAAGACATAACAACCTTAACTTAGTGGTGGTCTAATGGATAGTGAGGTGGGCTGAAGATCGGAAGGTTGTGAGTTCAAATCCCGCTTGGAACACCACCACTAGTGTGCCCTTGAGTAAGGCACTTAGCCCTTAGTTACTCCAGGGAGAATGTCCCTGTAATTGGTAATTGTAAGTGGCTTTGGATAAAAGCGTCAGCTAAATGAAATGTAATGTAACCCCTCATTGAACAAAAGCTCAGAAAAAAAACACTAAACCAAAGTATTAACTACACCGATGCAACCAGACTGTTTATTCTTGGTACAAAGTTCAAGCCTACAGTAACACATTTTACACATAGACATTTGGAATGTGTAGGCACATACAGTATACCATACTCTATGTGAATGAAATCTGTAAACATTTGCTTAGAAAAGAAAAGACATGTACTGTAAAGGGACTTGGGTAAAAAAGGTATTAGATTCAGTTGAGACTGAGGTCTCCACAGATATTAGTACATAGTTAATTTCAGTTTTCAAAGACCATGTTTCTTATGAACCCATTGGAGAGGTTATATAAGGCAGAAGCTATTTAGGGACAGACTAACAGATCTTTTGTTTTAGTTTTTCTTTAAAATTGTTGACAATTACAGACATTTAGAATAATACGAGCCTTGTGCTTTAGGTTTGAATGCAAGTTTCACAGAAAGCGCTTGTAACTCTCTTAATATGGAGTGAAAGTCCATTTGTAAATGTTTTATAGGAGGAAACCCAGACAGCTTCAGAGACTAGGCAGAGTGATTGAGTCAGAAGCAATTGGAGAGCTAGTTACTGAGTGTTTAACAAGGCTACAAAGTGGGAAATCTGTGTGTCCTGGTGATAGGTAGACATGCAGGGCAAACAGATAGACGGGCGGCCAGAGAGACCTGTTGTTGATCAACAATAATTCATGGCTGCATAGCGAGTCGATTAAGAGATGGCAGCCGACTCGCTCTAGATGAACCCTCGGGCCCTGGCTGTCAGCGCCAGGCATTACACTCGCAAATGTAAGAGAATCTCACACACAGACACGTACACACATTTCTAACCAAAACCAGAGCTGAAAAGCAGTATTTAATACACAAAGCAACATTCAGATACTAAGAGACCAACTACTTAGGGCCCCTTACACACACTTATTATTTAGCAAATGCAGACAATTAAAAAGCATGTGACCACTCACACACACTCTCTGAAATACCTTCAACATACGCCTCTATGCACACGTTCACTGCACAAAGATGCATAACTTCAAATATATGCATAACCATTCAAACAGTTACAAACATTATTCCCTATTATGCATCCTATTCACACACATTATGCTCAAGCACACACTCCTTTTCTTCAACTATAATCCACTAAATGCACACTCAGAAATGTGTTCATATATCAGCTTTACAGGGGAAAACATACATTTAATACAAGTAAAAATGTTTTCATTTGATCCAGAATGAAATTCAATGCAGAATTCAAGTGCTTTTTTTTGTTATTATATATTTTCCAATTATATTAGTCTCTGAAATAATTTTGCCAAGAGAGACTTGTTGGTAACAACGTGTCTCATTTCCAAGGAAGACAAAAATGTGATTGTGGATAGAGCTTTGGAAATATTTACATGGAAATATTAAAAGCACATACACCAGAAGCTGTGACGAGTAAAAAAACAAAACAAAAGACAAGCTTAAAACGTAGGCTGTAACGCATGGGTAGGATGTGACTCTGTAGGCAGTAGCTATGGTGCTGAGTCATAAGTGATAACACCAAGCGGAAGTAATTTATCACTGCAGCCTCCATCTCATAAAACACAGAAGGGGACCTTTTAAAGCCACTTTTTCTCTCCAACCTTGAATTACAGGCCTTCAGACAAATTCATGGACTTCAAGTACTTTCCCAGTCTTCATGTTTTGTCTTATAACATCCTGTGGGGGTGCATGCATCTGAATACAGTTACATTTGAGACATATGTAATCACACACATGCGTGTTCAGTTCATGCATGTCCTCCCTTATTATTAAAAAAAACTATGGACAGGTGTTGAACATGTTCATTTTGATGTCAAGGGTTTAAATATTGCAAACGGCACTAAGAGGTTAATGCCACTTCAGAACACATGTAACCTGCTTTTCCTCTTTAGCTGCAGTAAGCAGACAGTTTCTGTTTAGCTTGAAACAAATGACAGTATGACACCTTTTTCTTGTCTGAAAAAGACAGGGGAAAAAACAAGTCTGGGTCTCCCTTCATCAAAACTTCATCTGTGCATCTCTTAAGCATGAGATGAGGGGATTTGGATTATGTATGGAGTAAATGCGTTTACAGTCAGGAAAGCAAACTACATGTTTACTTTAAGTGGATGTACTACATGTACATCCACTTAAAGTAAATGAAGCGTGCATTACATCAAGAGGCGTGCCACATCTGCTGACTGTCGATTGACTCCAGCTCAACCACCCGTTTCACTTTTTTCTAACGTTCATTATTCATACATCATCTACACATCACCTGGTCTATGCAGCATAATGCAGTATATTCTATATCTGGTCTCTAGCATTCTGCTTGAATTCATACGTTGGTGGGTTAGACACATATAAACATACTATAAAACATCTACATGTACAGTTTAAAAAAAGACACAAATGATATATTGCTATTGTAACCCTTTTAAGAGCAGTGTCCTGTATATAAACTGAGTGGATGCAAACTGAGTTTGTGATGATTTGCAACAAAATCTGAACAAAAGATCACATAATCCTACTTCATCTGGAGCATAAAGATACTTCAAAGCGAATAAAGGTCAAACCCTTCCAACTGTGAAAGCTAGCATTTTCGTTAAAGCCACACTCACTCATCAGTGTTCTTGTTTTAACATGAATTAAAAAAAAGGTTTGCTTAAAGAGACAAACCAACAGAGAATGACTTTAAGACTCTCCTCTCTATCACATCATAAGGTGATAATATGTCAATGTTGTGGATCCTCTGCATCTCTAAGTGGCCAATGAAATCAATCAATATTGCAAAAGACATAGTTTCAATCAACAAAAGAAACACATTGCTCTAAGCAGCTGCGGGCAAAACAACGTTTTTTTGACAAGCTTAGTAAATACTGTAAAGCAAGCATTTCATTAAAACAACTGGCATCAAACCTTTCGGATTGAGTGCGAGTGCCGTTGTATTAAACAACAGGTGTATGCTTTCAGTATGAAAGTATCATGTAATCTGTTTCTTATGAAACTCAAAGACATTCCGGGAACTGCCTGACCATAATTGGAAAAAATGATCAGAATTATTATTCAGGAGATGAGAAAAAACATAATGTTTAAGAAGCAGGCTGAAATAACACCACCTGGCTAGGAGCAACACAACACTGACCTCATCCATTTATGAACACAATGCGGTTAAATTATTGACGACAGTGTTTGTTGTTGCAAGAAACAATGCTAGCCTCGTCACTTAAAGGGGACCTATCATGCAAAATGCACTTTTGTACGTCTTTTATACATGAATATGTGTCCCCGGTGTTCCAGGGAACTCACCAAGTGTCAGAAAACACAACCCTCTCTTTTCCTCCATACCCAAATCTCTAAAAACGGGGCTGCAACGGATCTGATACAGACTGATCCAGATTTGAACATTTCTCTGACGTCAGGACGGAGGAGCTGACCTATCAGGGGAATGAGAGGTTGCCGTGGCATGGTAACAGCATGGTAACATGACGCTCGTAACTCGGCCCCCTCCTTTGCAGGGGGGCGTGGTCAGCTGCAGCGCATGCAAAGACAGGGTGGAGGAGAGCAAAATAGAGCGAAATGAGGCATGGCTAAAATGCATGATCTGTTTGGTATTTTGAAAAAGAAAACGTATAAATATACCTTATATAGGTATGGCCCTACAATATATTATTCAAATATAGCATGATAGGTCCACTTTAAGCTATCAGTCTTTTCCGCAAAAGCATAGGACGTTTAGATGTTGAGAAACAGAAGAGGGAACACACATGGTAATATGGAGTGTGGTTAGGTACAGCAGGAGTCATTCAAGGTGAACAGGGAGCTAAGTGTAAAGCATAAGCATGCTCTCCATTTACAGGTCTATCTAAATACCAATCCTAGCTTAAGGTCATTAGCTTTGGATAACGACCAGAATAATGAGGTTGTGTCTTCATACGAATGGAGATAACTGCAAACTATAACACATTGTCAAAAGAAATAGGTTGTACTCTCAAAAGGTGATAAAATACTTTTGTTAAGAATGGAATGAGAGACCTTTAGAGAGAAGTTAAAATCCTGCATACATACTCAGTAACACACAATAACTGCTTGAAGTAGGCGACTACAATTGCATTGTGAAATTAATCTTGCAATGTCTTACTTTGCATTAGTTTAGGTCAGAGAATTCAGAATTCAGAATTGATGAAACGTGGTCCAGCTTTTGAGTACAATTAGAAAGAAAAAAAGAGAAAGGAGATTAAAAAAGAGAAGAGGATAAGAGTAACATTTAAGAAGTGTGTTCTTGCTGACACATGCCTAGAGCAGGTATCTGAAAAGGGTGGCACTCAACTCCCTCCTCTTAGTACTTTTCTTTAAGTCTATATTTTCGTGATGCAAATCAGTGCTCCGAAAATGTATTTAGGAGCATAGGAACAACAAGAGAAGAATCAATTACATTTAAATGATGACTGTTACTGTTGGAGAGTTTAGGAAATATGATGAATTGTTTTTTAAAACAATATTATTTATCCTGACGCACCCATCAGGTGCTTGTCAGAAAATAATACAGCTGCTGTTTGACCCTCAAACCTTACAAAATACTAAGCACACCATTCAAACTGGATACTTAAACCAGATTAGCATGGGAGGGCAGTAAGCCAAGAGGAAACTAGAGGAGGAAGAGAAGATTTGCCAGCAGGGTGGTGGGTGGAGCTGAGGGAGGGTATGTTAAAGAGGGAGGTGAAAGGGAAGAGCTGAGGGAGGGGGTTCAGCCGAGGACACGGTCCTCAAAACACCCCGCTGCCTCTGCCTTATTCTGCTTTGGAAAATTACAAAAGCATACTCACACAAGCAAGCACATTCTGCACAGTATGAACACACTAATTCATAACATGCAAATGCAGACACCCACACAAACAGCAGCTGATGAACGGCAGAGGAAAAACAGAGGGGCAAGTTAAAGAGAAGGAAAGAATTGGTGCGAGATGAAAGATATAAATCTGTAAACGTCTATAAATAGTTGGCAAGCATGTGTTAGATTTTATGGTTATATCAAAACCATGAATACACGCATTATAGCATGGGTGGTCCAAGTGTGTATCAAACCGGCTACTTTGATACTCTTCACTGCCACGCTTTATTCCTCTCTCCTAATAGACACGGTTTCACCCTTTACTAGTTTTCTCTCCAGTTGGCCTCAATGTGGAGCCATTTCCTGGTAGTGTTGCCAGAGAAATAAGGTCATTTCCTGGAGTTCCTTCCCCTTTCAGCTCAGCTTCTACAGGCTTAGCTACCGCCAAAGTAAGAAAACAGGTCACTGACGCATCCTGTAACACAGCAGATCAGACTGGACAAAACTAGACTCAACTGCACCTCAATTTTCAAACAAATCAATATGGAGCAGACGGCAAAAACACAAAAATGGATCAGACCACACAAAGCCAGGTCAATCAGGTGTTAATAAACCAAACAAGATCAAACCAGGACAGACAGAAAAAACGTAAAAAAACACATTCTGTTCTGAAGAGTCAATTCAACTTCTAAGGGTTTATTATTTCATTTCACCTAGGAGCCAAAATAGAAAAATGGAATACACTGAAGTGATTGTTAAAAAATGTAGGCCATCCATCTTTAAGACAGCTGTGCGTTTTTAGAAAATGAAATGTGGTATCCTGACTCAATAACCCACACATATGACACAGGGGGAGAAAGATCATTTGCAATATTTTGCAGCTTCCTTTTAACCAAACAAAACCTCAGTACACAAACTAACATGTATCTTTTAAAAGGATGTCATTTTTACATCAGCTTCGCAGGCTTATCCCCTTAATTATGGGTTATAATCCTATACATATTGTGTAACACAGCAGGTTGATTAGATACTGAGTACCCCACATGACAAAAAGCAGTGGGGGGGCTGAGCTGAAAGAGCAAATGGACAGACAGAGGCAACATGGTGGCGCAGTGGGTGCCCTCTTAACTCAGTAGGTTAATCATCTATTTGTAACTGGTTTAAAAGCAAGTCCAGACCTCTCGTACATGTAATATGACCTTTATATGTTTTTCTTTTCTAAAATAAGATAAGGAGGGAGCCTGAAGATATTGCTTGACATTCATTGGGAGAGCAAAGAAGAAGTACTCCTGTCTCAAGTATCCATCCATTTAATCTATTCATACACATGGGATAGTCTTGAATCAATGACAAACCAATTGCTACTTAAGGATTCTCCGGTTGAGCAGTTTGTGGTTAGCTCTCCATGTACTGTATTATCTTATTGTATTTTTTTATTTGCTTTTCCAAAGTCGTCTTAGAATCTGTTTGCAGAGTTTTATATGGTTCACCGGGAATCAAAGAACCTCAACCTGCAAGAGGGATTCTTTTATATTCTGCTGAATGAACCTACATGAGAGAGGCAAATAAGACACATCAAAGGAATGAGACTCACTGGCAGCTTTGATGAAGCTCCTCTGGTACTGGTACGTCATCAGAGGTCCGGGCAGCACTCTGGAAACATAGTGGCAGAATTTCAGCTGGGAAAATTGAATTTTTACCAAAAATCTATAACTATGGACAGTTCTAGATGAGAACACATCTAACCATCTTCTCCTTCACGTCTTTTATCTCCATCATGCCAGGGTGCACAGCTGGACATCAGTTTATCATTTCTGCCTTAAGAGGGTTATTACTCCTGTTGGTTTTCAATGAGGCTTGACCTGTGTTCCTGTGTGTGTGTGTTCCTGTGTGTTCCTGTGTGTGTGTGTGTGTGTGTGTGTGTGTGTGTGTGTGTGTGTGTGTGTGTGTGTGTGTGTGTGTGTGTGTGTGTGTGTATTCAGTCAGGTAGAGTAGATTGAGCGCAGCTTGAACACCATTACTCCTTTCTTTGCCTAATGTGTTTCTCCTTCTACTTAGCTGCCTATTCCTGGCCTCTCTCAGTGCTGATCCTTTGCTCATTAGCATTGTCTTAAAGAGGAGGAAGGAATTTAACCATCAACTGCTATAAAATGACCAGCAATTAAGACCTGGGATCTACTTGTTAAGTTTTATGGATCCTTTGTGCAATGAACACCCCCTCTATGGGAAAATGTATGTTTCTTAAAGTGGACCTATCATGCTATATTTGAATAATATAGTGTAGGACCATACCTATATAAGGCATATTTATACTTTATTTTTTTTAAATACCAAACAGATCATGCATTTTAGCCATGCCTCATTTTACTCAATTTGACAATTTCTAGCTCTGTTTTTGCAAGGGCAGATTCAGTGACAACAGCACCACCTACTGGCCTGGCATATATACTACAGCGTCTCCAGCGCTTTCGAACGGCAATGGCCGTGGCTGCCTCCTCCTGATTGGTGGAGTTGGCCCAATAGCCGTAGCGCCACTGTCCTGACGTCAGGACAGTGTTCAAATCTGGATCAGTTTTTATCAGATCCGTTGCAGCCCCTTTTTTAGAGATTTGGGTATGGAGGAAAATAGAGAGGGTTGTGTTTTCTGACACTTGGTGAGTTCCCTGGAACACCGGGGACACATATTCATGTATAAAAGACGTACAAAAGTGCATTTTGCATGATAGGTCCCCTTTAAATGAATAAAATAGGCTTAACAAGGAAATACAAAAAAAAAGAAAATTAAAAGAAATACAAATAATTTAACAAAGTGAAACATGGCAAGAGTTCTATTTTTTTTAAGGCAGAAACTGAAGCAACAATATGCAATTATCAAAAATACTGAGTTAGGAGAAAAGTGCTGCAATTTCCAATGAATTGAGAAATAATTCAGTGTTTTGAATAAAGTGAACAATCCATTTCCACATGTCTGTAACCCTTTTCACACGAACCTAAGATAGTGCTTGATAGCACTTGTGATAGTCTTGATCTCCCACTCGTGGTTTTCCAGCTCCACGTCAGCACATGTCTTGGGATCTGATGTGAAACATAAGAAAAACATAGACTGATTAAATGAAAGAAGGGAAGACATATTTATTTAGAATAAATAGTGTTGTTATATTTCTGAGTTTACCCATAGCAAGGCCCAGTAGTTTTTGTACTCTGGAGTTTACGCCAACAATTCTGTACAAGCCCTGATCATCGATACCTGGAGAGGAGAAGAGAGGTTACTTCCTGTTTTTACCGTATTTAAATTAACCATAACATAATATAATTTGATCATCAAAGTTAATAATTTGAGTATTGTACACTTGATGCATTTACACTAACTGAAGATAAAGCTAAGCTAAGCCTTCTTGTTTCACAATAGGAACCATATCTGAGAAAGGTATTTATAATAATAATAATAATAATAATAATAATAATAATAATAATAGCTTAGATTTATATAGCGCCTTTCAAGAAACCCAAGGTTGGTTGGTTTATTTAGGACGATTTATAGAATCTGAATTTAAAAACAAGTGTTTGAAGTCATCATATTAAATAAATATTATTTTCATAAATGTCCATGAGAGAAACAAAAGTTCTAGCAGCTTGGAGATGCCATCATTATATACCATATAAATGTAAATACATCTGTTAAGCGGTAAAAAGCTCAAGTGAGTTCCATAATAGATGCTCTTAATGCAGCCGTTAGAGGGAAAAGGGAGTAATATGCACATGTGAAGCTCGATGGAAACATTTCAGATGAAAAGTCTGTAAAGACTAGACAACTTACCAAACCAGTTTGACCCAGATGTTGTTGGAATATGTCGTTTTAAAAATGTGTTTTTTTTTAATGATGATTGATGAATTGATTACCAACTAATCATTTTGCCTTTACCAGATTTGTAAGACACTACTCGTCTATTCACGTTACATATATTATTTATTTATTTTTAGTGAAGGAAAAGGGCTGTTAGTTTGTTGTTTAAGTGCATGTCTATACTGTATGTTTACGTTTTTGGCGTATACTGTGTATATTCTTTACTGAATAGTGCAAACTGCTGCAGACTGTCTATAGCTTTTCCGGTGTGCCACTGTGGTGGGAAATACAAATATCAGATGAAACACAAAATAAAGAAAATAAAACAAAATCAGAGTAGACATTGTACCTCTAGTGTCCACTGCATAAATGAACTTTTTCATCACGTTGAACCCGATCACATCCAGCTGGGCCACTGATGGAGATGGAGACAAGCAGAATAAATACTGAGGAAGAATATGAGCTTTGATTATAAGCATTTAAAAATACAAACAGTGGGCAAAACTACTATTTTAGAGATTGTTAAATGCAGCATTCATGAAATTAAAATCTAACACTAAACCTACCAATTTAGAAAGCAAGATATATTCTTATATAATACCGTAGCATTGAATTAACAGTTCATTGATACCAATTAAAAGCTACTTACAGCCTTCAGCCTGGTTGTCTCTGTTCAGATTATACACCTGCAAATAAAAAAAACACCCACAGATATAAACCTGCAAATAACTCTAATGAAGGCATGATATGTTTTATTACAGATTGCCAGAGCTCAGAGACTGCTTGTCGGAGCTTGCAGTGGCTTTATTGACGGTGATTACCTTTGTGAATGTAGACAAGAGAATGAAGAGGTGTTAGGGCATGACCATGAGTAACTAAATAAGAGTGTGGAAAGAACAACTAACAAACTTCCAGCCTTAGGGCAAACAAACTGTATATTATGAAGGAACAAATAAAGAGTTGGGGAAACTGGCTGTCAGTCAACTTTCCTAAATTTATTCCGAAACATAAACGCCAGAATTATGCGTGAGATAATGTCTCTATGCCAGTGATTCCAGAAGCTTTCTCACGTGGGACTCTTCAAATAAAGCCCACATCAAGGGTTGCATATTATTAAGTAAATAACCCCACCAAAGATTGATTTTCCATTTTAACTTTAAATAGACAAGTTGCTAAATCACACCTTATTTTACGAGATAAGGTGTGGAGAAAAGTATTTGTTTTGGTGTTATCTTTCCAATTAATCAAATAGAGAAGGCCAATACACTGACATTGTTTGATAAGTGCCATTTCAGGAACAATGAGATGCTGTTATCTTTTAGAATGGCATTTAGGTGATGTTATTTCTGTTTTATTGTTGTTTTTTGTCTTTTTCTCTGTGTTTTATAAAGTTTGTTTTAATGGTTCACTGTTTTACTTCCTTCCTAACGTTTTTAGTTCACAAAATGTTCAATATTTGGGCTTTTGTTTTTCTTTTAAAGACACGTACACCCTCTCTCTCTCTCTGTCTCTCTTTCTCTATCTTCTCGCTGTCATTTAAGAATACACTTGTAACCTACCGGTTCTCTCCCATCCATGGCCTCCATCCACAACCTGCGGTCTTCTTCTGAGAGAGCTTGCATGGTTATTACTCCTGGCCTTTAAACACACAAACAAAAAGGTACATTAGCTTATCAAATATTATAATCAGTGGCAATTAACAAACCTTGCAAACACTGGCCAGACAAGCACACGGAAAAACATGCCAATACATGTTTGGCTTAATATATTCTGTACATTTTTTAAATAATCATCAAAAGCAAGAATACATAAACAAATGCTTGTTGCCTCAGATGACCGCAGCTGTATTAAGAAGGACCGCTGCTTGCAAATCTCATACTTATTCAACAGCAAAGCAGAGGTGTATCACTTTACAGAAAAATCAGATGATTGACATCTTTTTCACCATAAAAGGGAAAAAAGGTACAGATAATTTAGCCTGAAACTTCCCACTCATTCCACTAGGCATCTACGAAATCACCCTGATACACATGCACACACACACTCTCACACACACAGCCTCATTGGTCATGTCCATTCCTGTCTTGTAAAGATTTTCTATCTTTCCTGTAGTCCGTCATCCTGTCACTGGCTGCACACTCACCTTCAGCTGTCACCACCACATCACTACAACACCCCCCACCCCAAGCACCAATCAATACACCGCCCTTCAATCATGACACAGATGCATGTGCACAGACACATTGTGTACAGGGGTGCCCACACACGCAGACATGCTCAAAGCAAAACTAATATTTACAAAATGGGCTTAATGAAATGTATTTAGTAAGGCAACTCATTAATGATATGTAAACAGACACACCATTCATAGATTACCTTACTTAAGGGACAAACAAACACACGTCAATACATATATAGCATATTATTAGTATAAATGTAAGGAGTAATGCTAAACAAGTAGATGAGATGTGAGGATAAGTGGATTGGATGGAGAAAGGTTCAAGTTAAGGAGGAGCAGGAAAGAGGGTGGAGGAGGAGGAGGAGGAGGAAGAGTGTAGGAAAAGGAGCACCAGGAGACTGAGCATGAGAGCTTTAACAGCTACAATGTCTCGCCTTTATGTCCAAACAAACTGAGCACCCCCGTGTGTCGGTTAGCGGCAATTACACCACATAAAAAGCACATAATGCCACTCACTGAACTGATGGCTGATCAGAGAAATGTAACTGTGACTATTTACATGAAAACAGCATACACTGTTGTCAAATTCCAAGATGAAAAACAAAAATCAGAAGTCCTTCCTGTTTAACTCTTTCCTAGCTTGTTTGTGTGTTTTTCAGAAAGTTGTTGGATTGCTGGGAACAAATTCACCTAAAAATCATTTTGTAATTTTCTGTCTGTTGAATTATTCTGGTTCATGGCCCGATGTCATCCATAAAGCTTGTGCAGATGAAAACCCTAATAAAAAATGGTGTCTATTAAACTGACTGATTAAGACAACGTTTGTACCCCTGACATAAATTAAATGTGTTATATTTATGAGAAGTAAAGTAAAATAATCAGTTTGAGGCGGGTCAAAGGAAGATTGTGTAGGAAGTGCATGGTTTGAAAAGGCGACACACAGAGTAAAATCACACTCTCACTGACCTGTCCACAGCCTCCACATCAAAACAGAACCTCTTTTCTATCGAGTCCGTCTTCCTTCTGGTGCACGACTTGAGGGTGAAGCTCTCCTCATCTCCCTGATGAGAGTCAAACAAACAAAACAATGAGATGAGGATGGGTGGTTTTTGGACAACAGTCTGAGACAAAAGGGATGTTTTTAGGAGTATTTTTTGTATTAATAAGAACAATCCTCTCCTGTTGGAGAACAACTGAATCTACAGGCAGTTTCCCAACTTGCTTAACTTCCAACTAGAAACACATTGAGATATTTTTAAACTAAAGCAATTGCAGCATTGAGTATGTCTCATCACAGAGACACTCAGCCCTTAAGCTTAAAGTACACAAGGAAACAATGCCTTAAAAATCTTAAGGTTGTATAAGGCATTTCTGATGTAATCTTCATACTAATAGGGTTAACATTTCTGGTAGCGCCACATGTTGAAAGTCACACAAATGTATATTATTTTAAAAAGTATTGGCAGTTATATAACATTTCTGGCTCTAGAATTTAGGGGTATGTTGATATGTTGGGCCCAGGACTGATGTTTTCATCTTGGCTCTTGGATCCCCATATATGTTTTTGTTGTGCTGGGCCTGAAAAGCTTTCTGTGATGTTGAGTGTTTTTTCTCCAGTCAATCACTCGGAATGCTCCGTAAGAACCCTCAAAAAACAGGCATGAACTTGAATGAGCTTTGGGTTATTCATTGTGTAGGAAGTGATAATAGACAGCACTTTGAGAAAATAGCTGGAGTCATGCTGCTTACACAGAATATCTTTGGAGATGCTGCCCTCTCATTTATGAGGCTGCTGCTGTGGGAGAAAATGCTTTCTCTCTGTGTTAAAACTGATATGTCCCTGTATGACTGTACGCTGTTGTAAAATGGAAACATGCGTCAGAACGGGTGCTGACGTTAAACTTGACATTTTCCATTGATGATTTAAAACGTTTGAACAATTTCCTGCTTGCAAAATCCTAATGTAGCTCCTCTAAAAATATCCTGTAAAACGTGTTGTGTATTGGGAAAAATTATAATATATCCACACACACACACACAGTGGGATAAACTGTGAGCGAGCCAATTGAAAAAACAGAGAACATGATGATTTTTTTTTGTACGTCTGTGTGTCTAAGCATTTTGAGCATCTGAATACCTATAGATATATACTAGTAAATAGCTAAGGAATTTAATGGCATGGCAACTTAAATCCATAAAGCTACTCACCGTTTTCCCTCCTGATTTTGGGTCAAACAGGACAATGGTCATCCTCTTGGGCTCACGATGGTACGTACAGTAGTATTTCACCCAGGTGGATACAAATGAGCCTGAGAGACAAGTGAAAGAAAAAGAGACAGGTTAAGAGAGAACCAAACAAACAGAGGCAGGAGAGGGAGACGGTGTTAAAACAAAAACAAAAAAGGATGGAAAAGTGAAAAAATCTCCATCATGCTTGCATTAGTGCTAGATCGGTAGCCATGGTAACCACACACAGTTGGAGCAGTTGTTACGTCTGAATGAATTTGCGTACTCATTGTGAAAGGTGACGTGTGTGAGCGGATACGTACGTTTCTCCTGCACATACAGGTATCCCTCCATGGTGTGCTGGCTCACACTCTTGTGTTCGTGTGGATTCTCCTTCATCTTCCTCATGAGAATCTCCACCTCTGACCGCGTGCTCTCAAAACGGTTCCTCGTCTGTCCACACAAGCAAGAAGGAACACACGCATTTAGTTAAATGGCCTGATCAGGAGTCAGCTTAACAAGGTTCAAGGTGTAAAAAGTGGATTTGTATTTATTTTTTTTTTTAAATGTCAGCATTCTAAGAAATAAAATAAAATGCTTTGAATAAAAGGGAAAAAAAGGAATGTTCAATGCTACAATCCACTTATATGTCTTCCAATCTTTCTTAGCTTCTATTTTTGTAGGGAGGTTTTTGGATGTCTTTTGGGTCTCAAGTATTGCAGTATTTTCAGAAATGTACTATGTACTATTTTTTTCTTTATTACGATTCCAGTGTGACCTTGCTTGTGATATTTGTGTGTGCGAGTGTTTGTGTGTATGTGTGTATGTGTCTTTACATTCTGTATGCTGATGGTGAGATCAGTCTTGAAGTGGTTGAAGTCCTTTGCCAGCTCATAGCCGTGGTGATAGTAGGTGAAAAGACCTTGGAGGAACGCCAACAGCTGAGGGAGACAAAAGCAGCAGGAACATGACGCAGATGAAGGAGGTAGAGGGAGACAACACAAAATTATACAAAAATATATTACATTATGCAACTATGCATGTTCCACAAAACAATGACTGTGCAGTAATTACACAAATTAATAGAAACAACTTAAGTGGTAAATTAGACCTATTTTGTACACATTGTCCTTATTTGTTCTGTAACTAGCAACTGAGGTGACCTCAAGCAAGGCGCTAAAACCTCCAAACTGCTTTGTTAACAACAAGGGACTGATGTAGTGAGCAGCTGCTGGGTGTGGATTTGTCAAAGTGAGTAAATGTAATAGGAACCCCTGCTGAAAATGAGCGTGTGTGCAGAACAACTTTAGGAAAATGCATTGAATAATAGAGATATTACATGAAACAAATGTGGGACTTACAGGCTCTACAAAGTCAAACATCTTCCTCTCTTGAACCTCCTGCACCTTGAAGACGTACTCCAGAGAAACTGCGTAGAAATGCTGCCGTACGGTATCTACCTGGTTGTCCGCCTGTAACAGGGAATGTCATTAAGAAAACTGCTTTTAATTTCCGAAATTGGGATTAATAAAGTATCTATCTATCTATCTATCTAAATATTGCCGTTCAGGTGGCAGAAGGAAAAGCATTGTGACACTGCTATCTTACCTCATGTAGATGTGACTCTTTCTTCTTTGCTGAAAGGCTAAGGTGCTTCTCCAGCACTGCACAATACTTCTCTGTCTCTTTGTCATATTTTTTCCTCGCTTCCTGTAACAAAAAAAAAACTATTTTAGTTTGAATGCAGACAGAATAACTAATTTAATGTAAGCTGATTCAATAGCCCAAACATCCGTTATGTTTGTTATCATATTAACATGATTTCTATGTTATATGGTCATCTGTAATCAACCAGAGCATGTGCAGTTGGGAAGAACAGTTGCAGATTTGTGAATGGAGAGAAATATTTTCCATTTCAGTGGGCCAGTATGAGATTGTGTCTCCGGGGAACACAGCTGCTTCATAAACAACAGTCCGTTTTATCAGAGCTGACTTCACTGAAATAAGAGACACACAGTTAAGTGATGATTAACCACCAGGGACAGATAGAACAGGGTGTGTTTGTCCTCAAATTGCTTTATTTTTTTCTCAGAGAGAGAAAGCATGTTGGAGAAGTGGACATCAAACAGAGGAGAGGCAGATCAGGGTGGGTCTTCCTATCTCAAAGAGGCCCTGGGGTTTTATAAAAGTGCATCTGTCCCAGTCAGTTAGCATTTCTCCATCCCAACCTCACATGACATGACCCGGCTGGAGCTTCAAGGGAAAAGCTCAAATCCTAATAGCATGAAAAAATGGCACATTATGCTGCTTTTAGACTCAAATATAGAGCTTACTTGCTTTTCTCCTTTTTTTATCATCAAAACAAGGCATTTAAAGCTATAACCTTTGACATTGAGATACTTTTTTTACACCAAACTATTTATCTCGAAAATAATGCTCAGATAAATAATAATAGAAATAACAAAATAATAATAAAGTATAATTAAAATCATTATAATAATAATAATAATAATAATAATAATAATAATTAGTTGAAGCCCGAACTTACTATTTGCATTAGTCAAATAAGAATCTAAAAATGTGTTGAGTAAAATTATAATGAAATGTCAAATATTGGGCAGCTCTGTGTAAAGGTTTTGTTGGTTTGATTTGCATTATTCGATGAATTGCCTCAATCTGTCATGTATTTAATTTGATGGACTCAGCAGTCTTGCTTTCTGGTCATTTGTGGTGGTTGAAATGAGTTTGCTAGATAAAGGAAGATCCCAGATCAAAACAAAAAAAACGAAAATAAGGACATGCTGTGATAGCAACCTTTGTTGCAGTTATATGACAAAACAGGGATGTTGTTGCCAGGACAGTTTGAACATCAGGAGAGTCCTCTGGGCCAGAGGAGGAACAGACAGCAGCTGCAGATCGCATCAGAGACGGTAAACTTCCCTCTAAACAACAAGGCCTCTGTCTAAAGCCCTCCTTTACTTTTTCATCTTCACTGTAGAAATCCTCTCAGTAATGTTCCTATTCTGTGAGTCTCTCCTTAGGGGTTGAATGGGTTACTCTGACTTAAAATACTTTTTATTTAAACAACTGAAAGAAGGTCGATTTTTCTACTTTCTTTCTGAAATCTGAAATGCGTAAATGAAAACTAAATACGAGGCAGTCAGTATAAAAACTTTTTATTTATTTTACTAACCAAATCATTGGTAAAACTTTGTAGGCATTCCAAATGAGTTTACTTTAAGTTAGTTCCATCGTCAGCCAGCAGGTGGCGATCTCCCCTCAGTGTGATTGCTAAGCTATGATTGTATTTTAATTTTCCAGAACAGCACAATAAATACAATGTATGTTTGTTTGTGTCTTTATACAGGATCATGCCGTGCCACCTCACAAGATTGAATCATCACAATTGTACTCCACTGCTGTCATGCAAACAATTATTAGATGGTCCCAAATATACATCTTAATAAACCTGAAAACATTCACTTTATTTGTGATTCCTTTTTTAGTTTATACCAGTTTTAAGGTTCACCAAAAGCAGAATACATTTATTGTAATATATAAGTAAACATATTATTATAAGAGTCAGAATCTGCTTGGCCTTGCATGGGGTCAAAGTGACACTCTGATAACATCCATTTGTCAAACTGTAAATGTATCACCATTAAAAAGTAGTTTTTCAGACCTGTATTCACAAGAGTTTTGCAAACAAACCAATTCATCAACAAATTGACCAATCTGATTATTATTATTATATAATGCAAGTTTGCTAATGAGGAGCAACATAAATTGTACTGGTGAGCCATGAAATGTCTACTTTCCATGTTGTTGTTATCGGGAGTTTTCCCAATCCGAAATGACGTATTCAAATGATTCCAACACTTCCTTAAATGGTACAAAAATGTCCTATTTCACAATGTTAACGAGGGTCAAACTTAGTGTGATTATCTGCCCCAATATAACAGTGTATTTGCTCTTATTTATGGGGTTTTTTCTCTGCCCAGGTTTACCAAGTTTAATGAATATCATGCCAGTTATTCTGCTGACAGAGAAACAGTCAAACAGAGAAGAAAACATACCTACTTGGTGCAGGTAATAATAAGCCTAACAAAACATTGCAGCAGTAGCGTAAAGGTCTCGTACTTGTTGTTGCAGTACTGGTGTATTTGTTTAAACACAAACATGGGCCTCATGTTACCAGATATATATGTCCTTTTAAAGCACAAGGGTGCCACTATTGTTTATCTTTAAGAAAGCGTTTTGCAATGTATGCTTGCAGTGGAGCTGAAAAGATAACTAAAAGATAGCATTTTAGGGACTTTGTTTCTGCCGCAGTTTCATTTGTGTTATCTCGCACTGAATAAGATTAGGGCATGGACCTGGATGTACTTCAAATAAAGACTTTAAAACTTGATTCCACTACTCTTTTTGAACTCTCAGTAATTCTCCTAAAACCCTTCTTGTGTCAGCTCCGTAGATTTAGGACGAGGTGAAACTGTGCCAATGCGAAGATGCTATCAGTTCTTTTAGGGCTAAACTGGGATTAGTACATCTCTCATATTGACTTTACGGCACAGATAATGCTTACTTCATAATCTGGCCACCATGTACAATCAAACTCTGACCTGATATATGGGGATGGATAAGCAGGGTATATACTGATAACATGTTAAATACTGCATGAATCAGGGGACCCCCCGTTGCTTCTGATCTAGGTCTTATGGCTAATGACGGCACATGGTGAGTGCACTATGATCTGCTGTAAGGAGATTTGAACATTGAAGCATGACATATTTAAAACATGGTGGCTGGGGATTACCTCAAATATACAGTATGGTACTTATACGTTAATTTGAGAATTGAACAATTGGTTTGTTGAATACACTGAAAATAAAGTCAAAGAACATCATCAAAAAAAAGATGGACTTTTATTTCAATTTAGTGGACACACTGAGTAAACATTCTCCTGTTTACCTACTTGTTTGCTGTTTTTTTATTCAATATTTCCATGCCCTCCTCCACAAAAATATGTATACACTGTAACTGTAAGACAACACTGACTACTGTATGTCATTAGGGGGTCCTGCTGCTCTATGGGACCCCCCCTCCCCGTAATTTATGGCAGGATTATGCATTTCTCTAATCTCCTATCCAGGTCATGCAGAGATGGTTCAGACCTTGATTCATGGATAATCATGGAATAACCTGAGACATGCTGTAAATATTATTTGTATGTAGTTAAGCTACTTCTTCATTTTACTACAAGTCTCTGATAAAAGCACTTTCTTAGATTATCTTTGTGCATCTGACTATGAACTAAATAAAGACAGAGCCTTTTATGGGGCCATTGAACTCACAGGTCTGTGGAGTACTATACAAAGTGCATAGTTTTCAATCTCCAAACATATAGTTATTTTATCCGATAGCTTTTGAGTTTTGACTTATTATATAACTGCTCCCAGAACAGAACTTATACGTGGTCTTGCAGTAAGTTATAGTGAATTTGAAAAATGACAGTGTGTAAGCATTTATGATCAATTAATAAAAGATATTTCCAAAACAATTAGCGACTTTTTTTGTAACACAGTTTATTGAACCTTCCAACTGACACTAAAGAATACTGTACTTATCCTGTGTTAAGAAGGATCTCACTGAAACTCTATGATGTACCTTTATACATGTCATTTTATAGAACTGCTGTGATCAAATTATTTCAAGGAAAATAAAATAAAATAAGAACTAAACACTACTGTATATGGGTAATTAAACACTGACAAAAGGCTACAATAATGAAAATATGATCAACTGCAGTGACGTCAAAAAGGTGATAGTGATAGTGAGTTGCCAATATTATGCATGGGTGTTCGATGTGTCTGCCAGTGCTCCTCTAAGAACTTCAGAAGCAATACAAGGATTTTAAATTGTATTCACTTATTTGTGTGTACTGACAGATTAATACTGATGCACAATATATATGTAGCAGAAGCCATTTCCGACACCCCAGTCCTGTGGCTGTGCTTTGTGTCCTCCTTACCTTCGCTGCACTGATCTGTTCTTTCCTGAACCTCTCCAGAGGCATAATCAGCACATCGCTGGCATTCTCGATCTAAGGGCACACACACAACATCACACACAAACAAGTTTACATTTCTTAATTCATTTTGTAGATTACAATGGTAACTAATCCCTTTCCGTTTAACCAAAGCTTATATGTGAATAGTGTACAGTATAATGCCAGACATTACATAATTGTCTAGGAACGACAAGGGACAACTAAAAATAAGAAATCAACCAATCCTCTGACAATTATCAGTTCAACAGATAAATAAACTAAATATAACCTGTCCTCTGTGTTAACCCTATCACCATCAAAAATGTGCCGAGTAATGACAAGCAGTATATGCACAGTTCCAACTCCCTCTTGTTGAAAGCCTATAATATTCCTAAAAACTTGTTTGGTTACTCACCATGCGTGTTCTCTCGTCCTCCAGGTTCTGCAGGACCGCTGCAAACTCCTGAAGAGACTTGGCTAAGGACAGACATATTCGAAGAGAGAGAGATTGAAAGAAAAAAGATAATTAGGAAGAGAGATAGTTGGTATTTCAAGCTGTTATCATGAGAGACACACAAGCACAGGCTAACAGAAAGACGGATAGTGATTAGAGAGGATTGGCACGAGGTGCTGGTGGACTTCTCAGAAATGTTTCTGAACTCATGACACAGCAGAGGAATTAACTGGAAATTGAAACCACAATTGAGATGGTTTGTTTCTATGGTGCTTTCACAGCGAGCACAGCACTTGTTTCCTGGCTGCATTGTAGTTTCCACTTCAATTGCCTCTGTTCTGTCCAACACTTTACAGAAACACGATACTTAGAAACATTAAGGGCAGATACGGACTGAGCATGTGCAGCGTGTGCACTGACATGTACAAATCACATTCAGGCACATAGACAATGGAGCCAAAGTGTATTCTTGAGTCAACATAACCCACATATTCCCTCACTCTGCTTTTCAACATCAGACTTCATGTTAAAGGATGTAGGTATTGGAAGATAGACCAGTACTTTAAAACTATGCAAGGAATGGATTGAAAATAAGTGCAATCCTTTAATAAACTCAGTCAAACCTTCCAGTAGGGTCGATCACATAATACATCAAATGGAGTATTAAAGATGCAATATTGAGGGATAGATATAGACCCAGTAAAGTCTATTTGTATTGTATTATTCCATTGCTTTGCAAGGCAACTTTGTTAATATTAGTATTCTTTTTTAATTGATGTGTTGTAGATTCATTAGGAGTGGCATTATTACTGTATCAGAGAGGAGAAACTAGTTTGGACATGAGTAGGACTATGAATACACTAAAATCAACAGTGCTGTGGTGCAGCCCAGTTGAGCAACAAGCTGTTCAGGGAAGATAGCCGGGGTTAGTTAAACAACAGTAGAGGGTGGGTCAGGCCTGTGAGAAGCTGCGGTGAAACTAATATTACTTCAGTACATACACCGACATGTGAGATTTAAGTCAGCATTAAGTTATAATACTGGTTTGATAGCAACATTTGAACAAAAGAAAAACAGGATATGTAGAACAGGGCTATGAGGCATGTCACTTCAAGTAGGATACTTTATCCTGTTTTTACTGTATTGGACCAGGCTAAATCCATATTGTAATGATGACTGCATGTCAATTAAGCTTTTATTGTGGAGAATAAACATGAATCTACACTGTTAACTGGACTGTAGATCTCACGCTGTCTGCACACCACTGGTGACTGATGCCACTGGAAAAATCCACTTATTGATTTTTGGCACATCAGATAATGACAACAGACAAATGAAGGTGAAGAGTGAGGATTAGCATTCCAAAATGATGACAACTAGAGATAACAAAACAGCAAGACAACAGTACCACAGTATTTGTTGTCATAGACAATATACAATTAGTCTAGAGTACTGTTCGAACGTTGTTAAAAAAGCTTTAAAACAAAAAAAGGCCAACTGCATCATTTGAGGCGAGTTACTAATGACTTCCTATTGCATTAAATGGCCTTGATAACAGTGGTGATTAGGGCTGAAATATTTAGAAAACAAATTCAAAATGAGATTACTTTGACTGATATTGCAATACAATCTGATTTGCGCTATTAGAGGGAATTATCTTCTACATCCTTATTCTCATTTCATTAAAATGTTAAAACATTTATGATTATGATGCGATTACAAAAAGACGAAAAATAGACATTTTCTGTAGTCGGAAGAAAACAACTTATATGCTAGGAAATCTCTGCAGCAATACAATACCTAAATTTGAATGGTGTTTTGAAAACCATTTAACCCTCTACATCTTGCACTTCCCCAAGATTTAAAAATGACAGTAGAAAAACATTTGATGATCTTTTCTGCCATAGTGTTGAAATAACTGTCCTATTTCAGCGACGGACTATACAAATATCACTATATTTCTACAGGTTTGACTTTTGCTGGTACAGGAAATGTATTGAATTTCATATCCGTGAGCTCACCTATGCATATCTCATCGTCAGTCTCTGCGTCTCCAATACACTGGAATTTAAACTCGTTGAGAGAGTCAGCAAACTTCCTCTTGGCTGTTGACAGACCTGAGAGAATGGAGAGAAAAGAAAAAGAAGAATGTAAGTTTACTGAGATTTCATTTCAAAAGTTAGCATTTTAGAGACAGTATAAAAGGGAGAGTGAGTGGAAAGAGGTTCAATTCAAACGGGCGAATACTGTGAGTGGATTCCCAGTGGTGTAAGTGATGAAGGCTGACAGCTCCTATATCTTTGTGGAGGTTTATGTTTATGCACACGTGTGTATGTGCTGAGAAGTGCAAAAGAGTTCCATTAAACTTAAGTCACATTAGCCAAGTGAGGCGTTGAAAAGCCTCGGACAGATGGATGCCTTTCAAATAATACATGAGGCGCTAAGAGCTCCTAGGAGACAGACGCTCACAGCCAGTTTGGCTTCCCGTCCATATAAACTCTAGGCGGGGTCACCTTCACAACAATATTTCCTGTTGTCGGACTGACCTTATATACAGGAACAGAGAGAGGCACAACTCAAAATCACAAGTCAGGAATTCAAAAAATGATGACCATAACTATTGAAGCTTTAGCTAATGTTCCTTTCCTTTCATGGTCAGAGGAAAAAGAAACGAGCAACAGTATGATGTGGTCAACCCCAGCAGGGATCTCTCACTTTTCCAGAGAGGAGGACAGGAAAAGTACACAAGCAAATGTGTATTCCAGAGGAGCTTTTATAAACTACTGATAAAAGTAAAAATGGAGACAGGGATGCAGAGGAATAAAGAGGGAAAGAAGAGAGGATAGATCAAAAGTCCCATGGAAAACCAGATGGGAGTCAGGGAGAGGACAGTGAGTGTAGAGAGGGAAGAGCGACAGAATGTAATGGACCATGTTCATGTAAATACCACACAGTGTGTGACTGAGATCTCCTGCAGCTTGCCAGTTGGTCAAATGAAACACAGACCTAAGAGCTGCTGTGTGTGCTGCAAGACACACACATACACACAAACAAACAAACACAGACACACAAGCTGGCAAACACAAACCTGGACACACCACAGTCTCTCTTGGGATGTTATTCAGTTTGAATCAGTTTTATTATGAGTGTCACATCTGATCAATTAACATCTGACACAGTTGCTAGTAGTGTCCTGTAGTGGACATTAAAGAATGATAGAAATCAGTCAAAATAGCACTACTAGTTTTCGCTGACTTGTGTTGTTGATGATGAAGCCAAACGTTTCAGCACCTGGAAAAGTCATCTGTGAGATACTAGCAGCAACTTCACAACACAGTTAAAACGCTACTGTCATATAAGGGTTTTAAAGTGCTGTTAATAATTCATGAGATTATTTTGTTGCACAAAACTCTAAAGATCCTTTGAATATTAAACAAATGCCGGTTTAGGCTTGGAAAGTTGGTAATAGCAGTTGTATAAAGATTGTGGGTCTTTTATTTTCAAAATCAGCCATTATCAAATAAGGATGCAGTGACAATTCATGTAAAACAGTATTACAACACATTGCAAACTGTATCAAACTTTACTGTTCTCCATCACACCTTCTTCACTAACCTGGGTAGCCTGAGTGTGACTGGTGTCATGCTGAGCTAAACAAAACGATATCTCTTTCTTCACTTCCCTGCTCACTCTTGCTTCACTGCTCTCTATTTATTTGTAGCCTTCTACTCCCTTCACTCTCCTTTCTGCCACTGACAGTTCCTCTCAGCACCTTGTGAGTGAAACGTGCCAAATGTTGTTCATTTCTCCACTCTACCTCCTGCCACACTCCACATGCTCTCCTTTATAAACATCAAAAACAGCCGCAGGCCAGGGAGTAGGAAAACAGAAGGGCATTTAAAAAGTACAGCTTAAGATGCACTACACTGTTAGATGTGTATCAGTCTTCTCTTTACCAGTTTTTGTTCTGCCAAAAGCAGCAGGTCTTAGCTCAATATCAGGTTGTTAGTATCAACTGCTAGCTTCCGAAACAGAACTGGTTATATTCAATAGAAAACTGAATTTCTTCCTGTTTTTGCTTTTTGCTGTTTTTAGAAAACACTAAAAAGGTGTTGAATTATTGGTTGCGAAAAACAAAACATTTTTGCAAACCACTTCTGATTTGAAATGTTGCCATCTTTTGCAAATATGATACTTGTATTATTGGTCTGGAAAACACCTATAACACTCAGATATCTTTGATATGAAACTGAAAAAATCTACATTGTGTTCCTAGGCTTTCACTTTTAAAAGTGATAGCAACACACATACAGTAAACCCCCTGAAAAGACAGACCATTCATACGGAGCAGCTGAGTCATAGTTGACCACTTTTTTAGGGTAGGTAATTTTGGAGAAACCAGCTCGTGTGCGCTAGAATTTGAAAATACACAACCGGAAAAAATCTGCCACTTCCTTACAGAGCCCCTCCTCCAACACACATGAACGCGCACATGACCAATGAGGGCACGAGATAAGTTTGTGCACAGATGGAAGGCTGACAGGCAGGTAGGCCATCCAGTTATTTTAGCCGGGCCGGCTAAAACGATTGGTCGTACTTTTTACAGTATTACGGCTTCCACAGATGACATTTTTTTATGGATTTTTTGGCAAAGCACTTAAAATATTCATTGCTATCGGGATGTTAAGAGCATTCCATGGAATATAACAAAAAGTGTATCTCGAACCGGTTTCTCAAACTTACCTACCACACCTTTAATCAAAGGAAAATCTTAAATGAATCATCAAGCTCAAAATGATGTGGTTGTTTAAACTGTCGTACATTTAAATGCACCTTTAGCAGAGCATTAAATCATTATGAAAACATTTTAATAAATGTTGCCTGCAGTATCCCCTAAACTCTAATACTAACTGCTGGCAGAGGCTAGATTATTTTACGTGTGCATTAAAGTATTGCACTCAGTAAAATGAGCATCCAAAAGATTTACGTTTATTCTGAAAAGAAAGTACTTTACACTTTTAGGAGTGAAGTCATTAGGTGTAACGGATGATTTCCCTTTTACGAGTCACAGTCGGATTGCGTTAAATGGGAGGGAGGATAAGTGAGGAGACTTCAGTACTGTAAATACTATGATGACCTTTTTGTGTCACTTTCAAAGAATGGCAAAAAACTAAATCTGAAATAATCCGTTGTAGACAAAACAAATACAATCGTTTTTATATGTATTGTGGTGTCTTGGATACATTAAATCATAAGGTAACAATATGGGCAATATGATATAAAAGTCTGATTAATCTTCCTTCACTGTGTTCCAAACATTGCCATTAAACCGTAATGGAAAGGTCCAAGTTGTATTTACAACACCAAAAGTACTCACTGTGTCTCTCCATTTGTGCTGGCACACTGAGTCAATAGCCCAATGTCTAAATTATGACTTTATTCTACTTTTGGAACAATTACTTCAGGTTGCATCACTTTCACTAAATCTGCCATGAAAAACAAACTCTGAAGCATGCATTTGTGTTTAGCTTACTTGTCCATGGAGGATGGTTCAGTGTAAATGTTGGCAAATGTTGTGATGAGGTAACGTAAGAATGTTTCTGGCTCATATATGAAGATACATCATGCATGTCATATTGCTCCCCGTAGCCATGTTCTCAATATAAGCTGGCACCAGCACCACACTCACACACATGCAAACTCACACATGCAAACTCACACATACATTCATGCATTCATGCATCAGCTCTCAAACTCTGACTATGATTCTAAATCCAAAACACATTTTTGGCCCTAATGATTCTGAAGGATTTCGCCAACTACAGCAAAACAAAGAAAGAATTATACGCCACAACAAGTACATTGTCCAGAAAAGCTTTTGTGTAAAAGAATTACTATGGTACTGAATATATTGTAATGCAGTAAATCACAAATTCAAACCCCAAGATAAAAAGGTATTTCACCAATGTGTATTTCAAAGTAACTTTAAAAGTACATCCTATTATATCTCATGTGTGTGCTTGATTGCCACTTGCCATTTGATTAATTGGTTAAATATCTTATTTTTCTAAATTAATGAACAGAAAATAATCTCTAATACCAAGTGATAATTATAGCTAGATGCGACAAGGGACAGTTTAAACAAGATCTTTTTTTTTTAGAGTGAATTTTGATACCTACTAGTACAGTAACAAATCAGTACATTTTAGTGAGACCTATAGCCTTAATGATTGACAGTGGTAGAGAGATGATAAGGAAACAAGCACACAGAAGTTCACGGTGGATGATGTCTTAACTGCTGATTGCCCTAACATTGGCTATTCCTATTAAACCCTAACACTGTTCCACTGTAAATACACTCATTAATGTGTACAACCATGTCAATAAACCACCAAACGAATATAATTATGAGTTGTGTTTCCCCTGCTGCTACTGAAGCATTCCATCATTGGTATTGCTGCGTAGGTCTGTTGTTAAAGTGATAAAAATCAACCGTCGGTTGGAATTTCCAGCTGAGGGGGTAAAAAAGACCCATTGTTGGGGCTTCCAAGATACTTGATGCTTAGATGGTGCTATGTTGTCTACTACTATTAATATTTGTGTGATAATGTATGTGTGGCTCTCCATTTCCGTGTCCAGGCAGGAAGGACATTTGAGGACAGTGACAGCTAAAAATAAATGGCCCTGTTAACACTTGCCTCTCTGTCCTCTTTCCCTGTTCTTTCACACTTTCACACAACAGAATTGCCCCCATTATTCTCCCTTTAACCCTCTCATGTACTCATACCAGAGCCCAGTTGAGAAACAAACAAACGGAATGATAATGTGGCCACATTTCTAAAAACACTTTTGTAAAAGTCAAACTTGATACAAGAGAGAACATTTATGATTTTTTTCATTGAACGAGGAAATCCCATGGTGATAAAATAAAATATATGCTTTAAACCTGGTCAAGTAGCAGTACAAAATCACAAGACTTAACAACACAACATACAGCATGTAGCAGTAGAGGTTCAAGAGGGCAAAGGTGGTCACATCTGGTCACTCCTTCCTGGAGCATCACACAGATATGTCCTAAAGGGGGTTTGCTTGACATGTGCAGTAATACTGGTGAGTG